GTCAAACCTGTTCAGGATCATGTAGATGAATTAAAAGGTGATGAAGAATGAGGAGCAGCAGTTACAAGGAGAGGGTCAGCATTTTATCAATACAAGTCAGTTAGAAACAAGTAATGATAATACCTGTTTTACCAGTGATGGCGATAGTAGTTTGACTTTTACATTGAATCTAACTGGGTTTGTGTTATTGTAATTCCCACAGGTTTCCCAAGGGGACGCTGTTGAGAAGCTGGCTCACCAAGTCGCGTCCCCGTCTGCTGCTGCTGATCGCCGGACTCAAGCGGCCTCAGGTCACGCTAATGCGCCGCAAACGGATGAAGCGCACCAAAGTAGCCAAGACCACGTAAGCACCGGTAAATATAAGACTACCAAACCAGAGCCACGTAAGCACCGGTAAATCAGGCCTATTGATACTTTGCAGTGGCATGATGCTGGGGGTTCTGAATGTATGTCTATGGTGGAATGCGCAGCAGTTACCATGGTGGCACAATGTACACATCAGCAAACACTGCCCAGCAACATTTTAAGATATACTCAAAAAAAAAAAAAGAAAAGAAAGAAAGAAAGGAAAATACAAAATGGATTTAAGCAACACATTTTCAGGAGTCTATTATCTATTTGAGTGTTCATGGTCTTGATTAGGTGTTTGAATTTCAACAACAAAACACTGAGAGTGACAAACTGAAAACTGTAATGCTAAGTCAGTTCTTTAAGGTCAGATTTTGTTAAATTAAAGCTCATATTAAAGTGTAACCTGATTAACAAAGCATCAGACAGAGCAGTGCCTCCAGTTAGCATCACCCCCCAGGGAATATTGATGACATAAGCTGCAAAGTATCAATACAAAACCAGGGCTGTAGTAGAGTGGTTCCCAGCCTAAGGGATGGAACCCTATAGGGGTGCCAATACATTAAAGGGCTCCCCAGAGCTTTGTCTAGTCAAAGAGTCAGTTTAAGCTTAAAAAAAGTGAATAATGGTTAAAAAAAAAAAAAAAAAAGTTATAAACAAATATATTTCTGTATAGTTTGTGAAAAGAGGGTCACTGACCATTGAACTATTTCTTATTTATTTGCCTAATCTGTATTTTAGGTTATTTTGATACCTCAGTCATACATTTAATAAAATAACTTTACACCAGTTAAATCCTTTTAAAGTGGAACTAAACACCTAAACTTAGCCCACAATTCACATTTTAGCTGCTAAACTGGGCAGTACCTGGAGGACTAAAGAACAGGTCTACAGGTATAAGGAGCAGTGTGATTGGTCTAAGAGCACTTGTCCACTGATCCAAAGGTTGGTGGTTTGAATCCTGCTCTCGACATTAAAAACAACAACAACAAAAAAAAAAACATCATTGGTTGAGTGGTCAAATCCACTGACCCACAGGTTAGCAGTGTGATTCCAGCTCCCATAAATGCATGCTGTCATTGTATCCTTGGGCAAGACATTTAACCCACCTCTCCCCCAGTGTCTGCATAGATGGGTGTATGAATGTGTGTAAATGAGTGAGTGGGTCCTTGTTGTGAAGTGCCTGGAAGGTGGAAAAGTGCTGTGACCATTTTCCACACTTCAGACTGGGATGTAACGATATCCAAATCTCTTGATACAATATTTTTACGATAAACATCTCATGGTACGATATTTATTGCAATATTTTGTTGAGGCTAACAGAACTGTGAATATGATACTTCTCTGTCATAATCAAAATAATTAAGATTTAAAGCGCTTTTTAAAAGTTATTTCATTATGTATTTTTTCATCTGAAACAGAGCAAAGGATCATGGTCTATGTAGTTCTGTTTTTTTAACTGTTGCTCCATCATAACAATGTATTTAAGCAAAGAAACTATTAATTCATTATATTGTAATGACCCACGATATTATTGTGACACTTTTGATGATACGATATCACAATATTTCAGTTATTGTTATTTCCTTAGTGTAGGGGCAGTGGCCCTATGCCACACAAGCCACTAGGATGCAAATTTTAAAAGGTAGTTCTGACACGTGTTTCCATATAAATGAGCCCAAAAGTCCAGTAAAAGCTCAAATATTCCTTTATTTTAGCATGAGCTTTGAACACGGTCAAAAGACTGTTCCTCATCAATTTGTAACACCTGGCATTGCTAATTAATGGTCTTAAATAGGCAGCAACCCACAGAAAACAAAGACATAGTGCCACACAGTGGCCGGAGGTGCATTTTGGCCGCTACACTTAGTTTTGCGTAATGTCATATAGTACTTGAATTAGCAAAGGCCACTGAAGAAAGCTGCAAATTTACCTAGTTTGATGTAATGATTAGAAACAGGAGACAATACTATTAAAACCCGATATACACAATTTAATAGAAAAAAAAAAGTTGATTAAAGGCCGCCGCACTCTAATTTTGGCTGGGATTTGCTTCTTCCTGTGTTCGCGTAGGCGAGACGTGACTTTGTATCTTTGTGTGCGATTTTGAAGGCACTGCGCTCCTCATGTGTGGTGTCAGTGTGACTCTGAGATGCTCTGTCATATCGTAATCAATCGTAACCACCAAAGAAACAGCCAAAAAACAGCGTCAGGGGCAGATGGAGTGACAGACACTGAGGCGCAAGATACAAACTCAGGAAATAGCAAAACATAATGAGAAGAGATTACTCACCACTTGTAAAGTTATACATTTAAACTGCATTATCTCATCCACATGATCCATAGATCCAACTGTCCTCTGAAAATAATGACAACCAGTGGACAAAACGGTGCTATTAATACAGTTTGAGGCATTCATAGAAAGTGAAAAGGCGAGAGTAGTTCCTCATGTGTGTCTGTTTACATCCACACAGTGCACGGATTTAGGTGAAGCTGCAGATTAGCAATACTGACTCTACTTCCTGTGTACTTTATTGTTTTATATGCTTTAAAAATCATGTATGTGAAGTATTGCACCACATTTCACAAATAATAATAACTCTGTTCTGACTTGTATCTAAACTAGAAGTGCAGTGCTCTGATCTTTTGAACACTTAAGAGTCTCAAAGTGAGTCGTTTTACTCTAGACAAGAAACAGCAGACGTGATCACGCTCACCACTTCAGTCTGTGGTACGCAGACATATCCCACTGCAGTTTCTGCGATCAGGGATTTAAAGGCTCATACGATTCTCCTCATGTCTGTGGTGTGTGCTTTTTGTTGCACGTTTAAAAATCGCTTAAGACCGACAAATACTGTAGTGTGTGGCGGCCTAGTGTTTAATCCCACTTTAAGTTCTCGTATCAAAAATAAAAATAACCTTTATCCAGCCCAGGTCTGATGTTCTTTTAACCCTGTAGAAACAGGATAAACCTCTGCAGATCCTCTCTATGTTTTAAACTGAGCTTGATTTGCCCTTTGACCTTTAAGGCTCATGTTGTGTACTCTCTCCCCTCAGAACCTGCAGCCGGATGCCCCACTTCTCGTGAGCGCTGTGTCTTCCGAATCCGCGCAGCAGAGAAAACGCTCCGCCGACATGTTGGATCAGAGTCCCGCCCCCTACGGACTAGCCCCGCCCCCAGGCCCCGCCCAGTCCAGGTCCGGTCCGGCCCACAGAGATCCAGACCCCCAGACTAAGGCCCAGATTGGGACCGAGCGAGCCGGGCTTCAGAAAGTTCGACTCGAGTGAACCCTCCTCAGAGCTGCTTCTATTCTGTGACTGTCTGTGTTTGTGCAACAATAAACTGTGAGCTCTCATGGACTCTGCCTCTCAATCAGATGCCCTGCCATCCTCCTGTATCCCAGTGTGTCATATACTCCCTCCATCCTTTATCTCTATAATGTTTAACTGAGATGTGGGCAGGTCAAATGTCTAAATGTCTACATCTGCTAATCTGCAGATGTTGTGGTGTGTTTGGTTGGAGAAATACTGAGAGAGAATGGAACTTGTCACTAACAGAAATGTTTAAGGAAAACATTATTAGATTTTCCTTTTTCTTATGAAAATACCAGAAAATGAGACATAATACTTGCTAGCTGGTTTAATCTGAAACAGTCTGGAATTAAAAGAACTGCATGTAGATCTGTCTTACAGTCTTAAAAAAAAGAAACTCAATCAAAACTGAACAGGGGTTGCCAGTGCCTTAACCTGCAGATAGAGAACATAAACACTTTTTTCACATACATGTATATGGACAGGCCATGCCTCATGTGAAAGCTCAAAACCTCCAGGATTCCCTCCCTGAGCTGCAGAGGCTGCACTAGCACTCATTCATGATAGGCTGCAGGTGCTGGGGTTTAGGTAGTGACAATTCAGATCAGAGAGAGTACTTTTAGGTTTAAAGTAATTGGATTGCATCAGCATTAAACCTGACAACCCAAATGAAAGACTCATGTGAGGCTCATTCTGCTACCTGATTGGAGAACCAAAACATCATATTATAACAACTTGACCATGTCCGGTGTTTTTAATTAATAGGTTCCTTTAAAAAAAAAAAAAAAAAAAAAAAAAAAAAAAAATATATATATATATATATATATATATATATATATATATATATATATATATATATATATATATATATATATATATATAAACACTACATTTTAATATAAACTGCATTTTTACCCCCCTTCTCAGACCTCATTTGATCCATGGAGTATGTCTACCTCTAGTGGACATTTGCAGTAATGCGGTGAGCCTGTCAAAGCTGTGGGAAACTAAAAACTCAAATAACATTAATTAAAATACATTCAGATCAAAGGTTATACTCTACATAATCTACGATTTAGCATTTACCACTATTTTAATGCATAAAATTATCGTAATTCATCTTTAAATGACGCTAACCGCTCTTTATCGTTGTTTGTGTAGTCAGCGGAGGGATACAGCACAACTCAAACCGAGCAACGGATCAGCCGTGCAGAATCCGCCCGCTGAGTAAATTAGACCCAGGCGTTAACGTGAAAAACAGGCTTAATGTGTCTGGTTAAATATTATAATTATATTAAAAAGGTTGAATGGTGGGTCTGTTGTGAGTACGTCGTGTTTGTTTCCCCCGGAACCGCTCTGGAGGCAGTGCGAGACCGCTCTCGCAGCGCCTCTCCTCGGTCACAGCCTGTCACCGGTCACTTCCAGTTCCAGGCAGCGGGTCCTGGCGCCTTCTCTGCCCCGGAAAAACAGCGTCGAGCCGCGGCCCCAGAGCACCGCCGAGCAACCGCCGAGATGCCCGGGATGATGGACAAGGGCTCCGAGTACCTGGGCAAGGGCCGGTCCAACGGAACCAAGAGCCCGTCAACGGCCTCTAACGGACACTGCACGGACGATAGCAGCGACGAGGAGCACGGTGGGTAGCCTCGGTCAGCAGCGGAGCCTCGGTCACAGAAAACAAGGAATTTACCGATTTTAATAGACAAAAGTTGGACTAGAATAGAGGTTTAAAACACAGCGAATCCGAGAATGAATACAGGTTTAAAGTAGGACCCAGCTGGACTAAACACTAACGCACATGGCATAACAGTTTATAATTGTGTAATAGTTAAAATAGAGTCTTCTGATCAACTGTAGTCATTTACAGTTGTATATTATTAAGCTATTCACGACTGTGTTGTATTACTTACTGTAATGTTTGTATAATACAGTTTTTATAACGTGAACAGAGAGCGGAGCCTCGATCTCTGACAGGGGTAGCCTCGAACACATGGTTACTGTCCGATAGGGAGCCTCGAACAAGGACTAAACCACGACTAAAGAGGAACTTGTCTAGGTGTAATGCAAGAACTATACCTACGATAAAATAAGACCCCAGAAAGACTAATCCAAGATTGTACTGTATAATTAATTACAATTATCATTTCAAACATAAGTTATAAGATTGTGTATAATGAGAAAGATGAAGCATAACATGTCTGATTGTAATAGCACAGTAATGTTAATAAGGTGGTTATAGCACAGTACCTGAAAAGCATAGATGGTCAGATATGTTTTTTCTTGTCCAGTCCATTCTAATATCTGATATTTGTCTTGCTGCACTGACCAATCCTGTAATTCAATCAATTTTTTGGAGCTTTCTCCCACATTAGTGCAATACAAAACAATGCTGCACAAATTTGATGTGTTGTGCAGTAGTTTCATTTGCAGGATGCACTTTGATTGTGTTGAGCTAGCACTCTGAAGGGGGATTGAGCAAGGAGAGGGGCAGACTCAGAGCATCAAAAACAAAACTTATTAACATATTAATCATGTTAATACATTGTTTTCTGCAAATATAGCATTTTCAAAACAATAAAAGGTAACATGGTGATCTACATGTGTTTGTGAGTTTGCAGTTAATACCCCCTCTTTAAATTATAGTAAAGTTCACCAAACAACTTTTCATGTTGTGCACACAGAAAGAGCCAAGAGAGCATTGTTACTACATTGTAATCTCACATTACTGTCTTAATATGATTTCAGAATATACTAATAGGAAGTATGGGGATTATTCTATACTTAGGGGTTCATTTCACTTTAGTAAAAAGTGAACAAATAGGTTTTGCTTGTAATTACATATTTTCAAAATATACCACAAAGGGATTATTACCACCATAAAGAATTATTTGACCATCTTAAACCTTTGTCATTTTTAAATTATTTATGTTTTAAAAGTGTTTAAATAGCTATTTTGTCAACTGGGTAATGGGCCATTGACCCTTCTTATTGATATGTTCTCAAAGTACCACACTTTTGATATCACATTTGTTTAAAAGGTTTTTTGTCCTTTTGGCACTGGCTGTAGTGTTTTTTTGTGACGGATTTAAAACGGGGAATTCTGAGCTGTTCAATCATCCTTTAGGCAGACTGCTTACCATGACTGATACTTATTTTCATGCATAACTTTAAAAATTACACATATATACATTGTTACTTGTACTTGGATAAATGGTTTTATTTGAGTGATGCCCTTTGTCATTTTTTATGCAAAACAACCAATTATTTGAGGAATGATGGCCCATAAAAGATCCAGAGTATATCCAGAGTACAGTTGACATTCTGCTGTCTATGATAATGTATTTTTATGTAGTATTTTTCAAATGTGTTTGTTGAAATCTATAATCTATTGAACATGAATGAAAAAGCTTTAACCCTATCCAATCCACTTTATTTATATAGCACATTTCACAAACAAACAGTTTGTGAAATGATTTTAAGTCTGGTTTTAGGCCCTACAAGCTGGACCTGGACCTCGAACCTCAGAGCTTGTGCGAGGGTGTAAATTTGGATGAGGTCCGAGAAATAACGTGGGGCCAGTCCATTCAAAGCTTTAAAAGCAAACAATAAAATCTTAAAATCAATTCTAAAATTAACAGGGAGTCAGTGCAAAGACACAAGGATTGGGGTAATGTGCTCTTTGGATAAAACAACAAAAATCTTTGTATCTGCTTCAAAAGCTTAAAAACATCAGTCACTAAATCTCATCAGTGTCATCTGGGTAATGCTGAGTTTATAATAGAATCTACAATAAGTGTTACCCAGTTGACAGGCTACTCTGTTGAGATTTTCTAACATTTTAGAGTTTTATGCTTTTATCACCCATATGATTGACCTCAGTATAGGACAAAGATACAGAATAAAGGACCCAACAGAGGCACTTCAATTTATTTGCTCAGAAGTACAGCCTATTTAGTTTGTCAAAGGGAAGGGCTTTGTGCAGTTGTGGACGGAAATATATCTGTTTTTTTTTCTCAACTGGATTTAACCAAAGTCGGATTTATTGACGTGTTCTGCTGTTGTGAAGCTACAACCAATCAGATATTTGTCATGATGTCCAGAATGATAAATGCTCTTCACCTATCAATAAGGCATTAACCAGGTTAGGGTTCTATGGAAACAACAAATGCTTAATGTATTATCTTTACCATGTTATTACTGTGCTGTAAATAACATTAATAAGATCGATATTGTTTTTATTTGTGCTTGTGTTGGTACTTTTCAGATGTGGGGATGAGGGTGGGCTCCGATTATCAGGCCACCATTCCAGATTTTGAACCAGGAGCCACAAAATACTCGGACAAAGAGAGTGGAGGGATGCTCGTGTGGTCGCCCTATCACTCCATCACTGATTCTAAATGTAAGACCACACACATGTTGGATATTCATGTCATGTCAATCATAGTCATTACTTGCATAACCATAACTTAAACCCTAAAATTAATCTGTTTTCTATCTGAATTTTAAACCATGTTATTTATCCAAAAATAAAAGAAATACATTAGGTTCGCACAATATACGATGTAGCTGCCCTGGTCGTTTTCATTAAAAAAGAGATGCTCATGTTCATGTCTTTGTTACCATGAAAACAAATATACTGAGATATTTCTGTCAGCTACATATGGGCCAAATGCAGAGGACAAATTTCTCCATGGGGACAATAAAGTGTACCTTAACCTATCACAAAAATATTGATATAGAAAATGTTGACCTATGACAGAATAATTGATATCGCAAGAAAATAAATATATCACAACATCTTACAGAAGTGTATTGGACAATGGACAAAAAAGCAGATTTTATTAATGATTTTCCTTAGGCTGGTCTTGTTTTTTTTCTTTTGTTAAGTTTTATTTTGACCTTCTTTGACTAGTAAATGAAGGCATTATGCATTTTTGTTTAATTATCTGAATTTATTGTGCCAAAATGTGTATTACAATATTGCAATAATATTGTTATCACAATACCAAACATAATTATTGAATATCAAATTTTTTTCTCATATTGTGCAGCGCTAATTTATATAATCGACCATTACCAGGTCCTCACGTGTCTCTGTCTCTTCACAGTGGACGAGTACATCGCCATCGCCAAAGAGAAGCATGGATACAACGTGGAGCAGGTGAAGTCCTTATTTCCTCACTACAAACAGTTGTATTTCCCTTCATTCACGCTGGGTTCAGTCATTTTCTGTAAAAAGTCCTTTGCCTTAGAGCAGTCACCAAACATGCACTTGTGTATTTCCTAGGATTATTGCATCACAGACAGAGATCCTGCACAGTTGTTAAAAAGGGGGTATTATGCAAAATGTCCTTTTCTGCGCTTTTTACCAGGGTATGACGACGCTCCCTCAGAGGTTTTATGTCATCCATGCACGTTTGAGTAATATATCTTACTGTGATAGCGCTCTGAAGGGGTGATTAAACCCTTATTTGCTGGCTCTGCCCTGGCTCAGTTCTTTGTTCATACCTGGTTTAGTCCCTGGTCTAACCTTGGTCTTTCTCCTCAGGCACTGGGCATGCTCTTCTGGCACAAACACAACATAGAGAAGTCTCTGGCCGATCTCCCAAACTTCACTCCCTTTCCAGACGAGTGGACGGTGGAGGACAAGGTTCTGTTCGAACAGGCCTTCAGCTTCCATGGCAAGAGCTTCCACCGCATACAGCAGATGGTAACTACTGCAAATACTACTTCGTAGTAAAAGTAGTAGTGCTTCAAACTTGATTTTACCATGGAATATACTCAATTCCTATTCTGATACCACAATGAATACAATAATACAAAAAATACAATAGAATGTGATTTTCAACATTAAATCATAGTACTTTCTTTTATATTACCATGTGATCTTATATCTGAACTAGATATTAAAGCTAGTACCATTTATGTACTTTCAGTTACCAGATAAGTCCATCTCGTCTCTGGTGAAGTATTATTACTCCTGGAAGAAGACGCGCTCTAGAACCAGCCTCATGGATCGTCAGGCCAGAAAGTTAGCTAGCCGCTCCAACCAGGAAGACAGGTACTTTTACTGCTAATATTGCTACTGCTACTATAACAGCTAGTACTAGTACATGCCTTCACTCAGTGTATGATTGTTTGTGTGTTTCAGTGATGAGGAAATGGAGGAGGCCAACCCGATCGAAGCCAATGACAGTGACTACGACCCCAACAAGGAGACAAAGAAAGAGGTGAGAGAAGAGAGAGATAGAGATGAAGGAGTGGGAGGGTGAGTGCGTCCAACAAGGAAACCCTCTAGGGTCCAGCTCAGCAGCAGAGCATATGATTGGGAAAAGGTTACAGCTTTAAAGATAGGGTATTACGCAAAATTTTTATTTTTTAATTTTTTTTTAGCTTTCTACCATGTTATAACTTTCCCTCATCAAAAACACAGCTGAAGTGGCGATCTCTCCTATTTGAACCATCCACATGGTTAGCTGTAAGATTCTGTCCATTGTTCAGCCCACACACCTACGTCATCCTTGTTTTCACGTGATAATTCTCCATAAATATACAAAAGAACAGTACAAAACAATACATTATAACTTCACAAACCTGATGTGATGTGCGGTAGTTTCTGGAGGCAGTTGACTGTAATGTGATGGCTCTCTGAAGGGGTGGGACTGAAACTTATTAATATTAATAATATGTTGTTTTGGGTGAATATAGCTTTTTCAAAACAATAAAAGGTAACAGAGTGATCTAAATGTGATGTGTTAGCAGTTAATATCCCCTCTTTAATGTTCCTATCTTTCTTTTCGTCAGAACCAGCCCGAGGCCCCTCCCCCAGGAGCTAAACTAGCCCTGGGTCGCAGAGAGCACCAGACACTTACGCACCGCCACCACCAGAGGGCGCGCTGCAGACCGCCCAAAGGCATGTACCTGACACAGGATGACGTGTTAGCCGTTAGCTGCTCCGTGTCCGCGGCAAACAGTCTGCTGAGGGGGCTGGACCTGGAGCTGGTGTCGCTAAAGAGACAGGTATGAATACTAATACTATTACTAACACTACTACTAATACTACTACTACTTTGGCATTACTGATCCCATGCATAACATTGTTTTTAATTGTTCTTGTACAGCCATTTTATGTGAGTATTTTATGTTGCCCACAGGGTACAGTACTGGGGTCATTTCTGTTTTACATTTTTATAAGCAACCTATCGTTACACATGTGATCCTCTCCATTTGGCATTACTATTATAACTAAAGGTCTGTTCAGACCAGAGCGTCAAAAAATGCCCTAGACACCTCTTTAGATGCCTTTACATTAGACGCCCCCGATGTGCATCTTGGAAGCCGTGGATGAATGGGAGAAAAATACTTGCCGCCCGGTCCCGGTCTTTTTCCGAAACGATGGCAGACCAGGCTGAGAGAGACTTTAGTGTTTTCATTATTACATAAGACCATCAGCGGTGGCTATCAGCTGGGTCCAGTCTAGTCCTGGTTTAGTCCTGGTTTAGTCCTGGTTTAGTCCTGGTTTAGTCCTGGTCTGGTTCTGGTGTTGTCCTCACGATCGGTTTGGTGATTCCGGCATATATATTTATACTCCGCCAATGTTTGTGGCTCCCGCTCTGGTTCTCTCTTTTTCTTCTGGATAATAACGTTGTTACGTCACTGGATACTCATCCCTGATTGGTTGACACGGTGTGTCTGACGTGAAAAGTTCAGCATGGCCCTGGACGCGCGTCTAGAGTGTCAACGCCAGAATGCTCAAGACGCACCACGTCGACACCAGATTTGCGCCTCGCTGACGCCAGAAGACGCGCCACAAAACGCAGGACACCCGAGACACCCGTCCACATAGACTTTACGTATAAACTGGATGCCTTGACGCTCTGGTCTGAACGGGCCTTATAATACTACTACTAATACTTTTACTGGTACTGCTACTACAACTACTACTGTTATATGTGTTTTAACTTGACTCCTATTTTTCAGGTGCAGAATGCAAAACAGATCAACAGTGGACTCAAACATGTTCTGGAGTCTGGGATTGATGAGTTTAGGCTCCCTGAGGTAAAATAACATCCAACAATATACATCAAAATAACTCAAAAATGTACTGATGAAGCTGTAGTGACCCATGTGACCTATAAAGATATTACCATTATTATGCTATTATTATTACGTATATAATTATATTATATATTATATGTGATAATGTGTTATTTATTCATTTATTTGACTGGAACAGTGCATGTTCATGGACAGACATGACACCACATGAATGTATATAAAATTATATATATATTATAGACAAAGGCTAATATCCATATGTTGTCCCAAAGTAAAGTGTGTAAAGCTAAAGCTCTTTACTGACTGCTGTGTGCAGAGTAATCAGAAGGTGAACGCTCGCTGGACCACAGATGAGCAGCTGCTGGCTGTTCAGGGTGAGTCCAGTCTGTTCCTACTCCCTCTTCTACACTCAGCATAAATGGCCTTTTTCCTACACTTCTGACAACCTTGTTACGCAGAAAAACATTTCTCCTTTAATGCTCTGTGTGCAGGTGTGCGTAAATATGGTAAAGATTTTCAAGCGATTGCAGACGTGATCGGTAATAAGACTGTGGGGCAGGTTAAGAACTTCTTTGTGAATTACCGACGTCGTTTTAACCTGGAGGAAGTACTGCAGGAGTGGGAGGCAGAGCAAGGAACCAGGGCTCCCAATGGAGACAGCGCCACCTGTGGAGAGGAAGGAAAGAACAGCACCCCTGCCTCAGGCAAAAGTACTGACGAAGAAGACGAAGAGGTGAGGGCGCACGGGCAGTGACTGATCCAACTCCTCCCTTTCCAAACCCATTCCTTTAATCATAATTTGTCATGAACATTCCCTGGGGGTGCACTGCTCTGGCTGAAGCTCTGTTACTCAACTTTAATCTGAGCTTTGTTTTAACACGATAATCTGCCACAAATATTAAATGTAAACAACAGAGCCATACTGGAAAGAGATGGGCAGAGTAGCCAAAAGTTGTACTCAAGTACGAGTTAACGTTACTTCAAAATATTATTATATAAATAGGAATATTTGATCTGTAATTTTAAGTTAATGTAATTTGAGGACAAAACAATACTCAATACATTGGTATTTTCAAAGAACAGACACAAAAATGAGAAAAACTATCATATCTGAAGGAGCACTGCAAGAAACACAAATGTTTAAATCTTTCAATACTGTCAGCAAAAAATGTTTGTCACTTGTAGACTTACAGTAGGAAGAGTTGCGAAAATGTTTATTCAAGTAAAAGTACTGTTACTTCAATAAAAATATTACTCAAGTATGAGTAAAAGTATGAAAAGCTACAAAAAGTTACTCAAGTAAATGTAACTGAGTACTATCCACTTCCAACCTGACTCACTCCAAATTGACATGTGTGGCACTCTGAATTGAGTTGTTGCACATTAATCTGGGATGGCTCTTGCTGAAAGCGTCCAGAAAACGCAGAACATCATGGTGAATCTGATTGGATTGAAGTGTCACAACAATAGAACAAGCTGAAAAATCTAATTTTTTATTAATCTAATTAAATTCAATTGAGAGAAAAGACATTTTCTGTCCGTAAATGCTCAATGCGCCTACCTGCTGCACGTGTCTTCCAAACACAATCATCCATATTGACGCAAAAATACGCTGAAGTTTTTCTGTCGGCATTGGCATTATTGTTTTGGTTTGTTGGGGCGCTTTGCTTTTGGCTTCCGCACAAAACTCAATGCTGCTCTGTGACTGGTCACCACAAATATTGAGAGAATCCATCTTGCTGTGCAAGGTTAATCCCTCTCTGCTGCTGGATTGCTACTGTTAAATACATCAGTCAAACATTGACTCTAGAAACATCCTTCAGTCTCCGCTGATGTACTGTTCAACTAAAGGTGAAATTGTTGAGATGTGATGACATTATTATATTATTTATTTTGAGCTTTAGAACTTGAGGATCAGTGCCCTCCGGTGGTGTAGTGGTGTACGCCTCACTCAGACTGTTTGCCGAATGTCTCTACCCTCTCTCTCCCCATTTCACGCTATAACTTTCTTGTCTAATAAAACCTTCGTGGTCAGAAAGTCTAGAATATAAAAAAATAAAATAAACAAAATAAACAACTTGAGAATCACAAACATATGCTTATTATGTAACGTCTCTCCCTCTCTGTCTCTCTCTCTTCCCTTTCCTTCTCTCCTCCTCTCTCTCAGGTCTCGTCTGGCGCGTCTCCAGCCGCTGCCTCCTCCTCCTCTCACCCCCCTCTCTCCTCCTCTTCCTCCTCCTCTCTTCACCAGCCTCCTCCTCTCCTCCGCCCTTCTCTCCCGGCTGCTCCTGCTCTTCATCGTCATCCTCCTCCTCTCCAGCAGCAGGCTCGCTTCCTCCAACCACGCTCCACCTTACAGCAGCCCCCGCCCCTCATCCGGCCCTCGTCCAATCAGCTGCCTCCAAGGCTCAACCCAAGACCGCCCACTACTACCTGCAGTACTGCCCCCGGAGCCACAGGGGGAGCCACGCAGCCACAGCAAGAAGCTCCTCCTTCACAGGCTTCAAACGTGCACTAAAACGCAACACCACCGCTGGGTCAAATGAAAACAGGGTCTCACTCACCCAGAACTCTGCAAAAACAAGTTAAAGCCGCACTGCGTAACTTTTCTGGTGGAGAGTGCAGTGCCTGCTTGTCTGTCTCCATGGACATGTTTTGCTCTGGATGTTCAACAGTCTGGCATTAAACTCGTATGTGTCCATGAAGAAGGAGATGATGCCACTAGATCATCACAGATCAGATCTGTGGAGAGGATAGCCTGCTTGTTGTAAGAATCCATGTTTTTCAAACAACGAAAACATTTGTAGTTGAAGAAATTCAAAATGAATAAGTAAAATATTCCAGGCAAAAAAACATCTCCATGGAGACAAGCAGGTGTCAGATCCTCTGACCCCTGAAAAGTTACATTATGCAGCTTTAAAATAAACAAGTCCAGACGATTATAGGTGGACATTTGGACAATGTTTGGTTGAAACTACATAATACAGTGTGGGCAAACGGTTTAGTGGGTCGAGATGTCCACCCTCTTACCGAGAGGTTATTAGTTCAGTCCCCATGTATTGCATACGAAGTATTGGTTTTGATCTCTGGTGTTACCTGGTTGGATATTTTTAAGTTTAAGCATTATTGTGACTTTTCTGCTGGAGGGTGTGCTACCTGCTTGTTACTGTGGAAATGTTATTGTTTTGTTTGGAATGTTCCACAGTATGGCATTAAATTTATATATCTTGCATTTATTCAATTACAGGTGGTTTTATTGCTCCAAACTACCTCGAAAAACATGTATACTACAGCGGGGGTCGCCTCTTAGCAGATCTGAGCTGTAACTTGGTGGCGTGACCTACTTGTCTCCATGGAGATTGATAAGTTTAATGCCTGTGGAACATTCCAGATGCTTCTGCATGGAGAATACCAGGAAGGTAAATAGTGCATTTTACACTATATCTACATCTAACCATATAAGGACATTTCCTTGCTTTGTGTATTTGACAATGCCCATTTTTGAACCATGTCAACATTATAAAATTTTTATATTTTTGGTTGATTAATAATTTTATTTTTGTTAAATCTGTGTTCCTACCGTCCCTTTAAATGTATAAAATATTTAATTTAAATTTTTGGAGCAGACATGATGGCTCTAGTGACTTGGACTTTTGGTTTGGTTTCTGAAAAATATTGTAAATATTATTTGAGATAAAAAATTTTAGGCTGTTCTAAAAAGCCTAAATTTTACCCAACGCACTTTTTTAGAAACTCTCCATGGGTGATGGTTTTGGAGTCACAAATTATTGACAACTGCAATGTGAATAAAAAAAATATAATGTAAAAATATAGTGACTTTAAAATGTTACTGTTTAGAGCTCAAATATTCTGCTAAAATGACCTTTTCTCTCATTAAACCTGTTCTAATGTGATAAAATATTCCGTAGTGGGGCTTCAACCGTGTTTTTTTTATTTTTTATGTAGTGTTCCCCTCAAAAACTTCCCCGGCATTGTATTTTGTTTCATTCACACATACTGTTCTACCTTGTGACATCATCAGGTGGTAAAACAGGGAGTGCTGGTCTTTGTTTTAAATTCTTAAAGGGTAGCTTCATCGATAGCTCTGAAATCTGTGATAATATTGCTATTGGATAAAATACCCTTTACTAATATAATTTTAAGATTCATATCAGCCAAATTAATGTATTTTTGAATGTATAACTTATGTTCAGGGGTTTAATGTCGTTGGTTTTCTGATTTTTATTTTATATTTTGTGGCTATTTCGGTCCTATTTTTAGCTTAAATCATGTTCCACTGTTCTCCTTCGTCACTAATAACACAAGTTGTATTCATTTCCTTTTTTGACTCTTGCATGTTTGAGTAATGCTTTTTGTAATTCAATTTTTCTTCCATGTTTGAGTAATTGTAACCAGCCTAAATGTTAGCAGCTACTCTTAGTAACCTGATTTAAGCTGCTTTACTTCTCAGTGCACCAGCAGATTGAGTTCTTAACCCTTATATAAACAAAACTGTACAACTGTTAAAAATAAATTTTCTATCATGTGGAAAAAAAACATTGGAAATGTATCTGTTAAAATCAGTAAATGCTAAAAAAAAAAAAAGTTTTCCTTTATTTTAGAGCGTGATCTTTTCAGGCTACTTAATATAAAATGTAATAAAACTGCTTTTGACAATTACATTAAAAATAATCAAAATTTGACCAATGATTGTTTGAGTAAAAAAATAATATATTGTTTATATAAAATGTCCCCACTAGGTTCTAAATGTGTTTAATGTATTTGTTTTTTCTGCATAAAAATAAATATTAAAGAAAAGTTTTGCCAATTTATTGCACTTCAAAACTGAGTTTGAAAATCTTAACATTTCAAGAACGTGTAAAGTTGTATTTAAAAGTCAGGGCATTACTGTTTTTATCTGTCTGTTCCTCACTCATTCTCGTAGTATTTTTGTAAATTTGAGCATTGTTTCTGGATTTTCGGTGTAAACGTGTCACTTTTATTTTTCAGGTCTGGTTTAAAACATTGTAAATGTGTCATGTGAAAGTGCTCTTATGGTTTCAGATGAACTCTGTGAAGTCAATGGAAAGTGGACAAAAATAAAACACATTTTGAGCCTGAATCTGACTTTTGACTTTTAATAAATAGATTTTTGAGTCAAATGTGGGCTCCTATATATTTGCAGAACTGACTCCTGTGAGCTTTTACTCATGTTATAATGCTGTTAGCTCCTCAAAAACAGACCCGGACTTGTGTTTTGCTTCGTTAACAAAACAATAATTATCAAAAAAATAATCCTAGATTATTAGGTGGTCTGCATTCCCCAAAGATCAAAATTTAAAATGAAATTATCCAAATGATTCTAGTAAAGTTGTATGGAGTTTAAACACACAGTGGAGCATTTCTTGTATTACCACTTAATGACATCTCGAGGATGAAGAATGTTTTCTGAAAAAAGAACACAGTCTATATATGCAGCAGGATTTATATGTTCAACATATGTGAATGAGTGAATCAAACAAAACAACTCCAGGTATTTTGATGAGGAAGGAAAACATAATAACAGATCAAACATAGTGCAATATTGGTGCTTTGGAAAAAAAAAACTGAGTTCAAATGGAACTGTAGCTGATCTTGACTTATTTACAGATGCCATATCGACTGTTTCCCTCTGTGCAGCATCACAATCACCATAAATAAGACATCTTTTCAGTCCAGAATAGACCCTGCTCTACACAGTCGTGAGGCAGGTCACAAGTAAACTGAAACATAACTGCACTAATACAAGAATACCATGCATTTAAGAACATGTTTGTAGAGGTCTAAACTACAGATACAACACGGTTGTTCTTAAGACAGGATAATTTGTTCTTAGCAGAGGACATTCTATTATCTAAATAATAGAGCAGACTTTGTGATTTTGATAAATTGTACAGCACTAGGAGACACTGCCTTAAACATCTGCATCTGATGTCAGAGATATAGAGAAGGTTTAACAGTTTTCTGTCTGTCCCATGTGTAAACTCTCCATCAGTGGCCTCAAAAACATGTCCACAAACTCAGCCAGTTTGGGTCAAAACATTACATAGATAAATTTATGTATGGTTTTAAATTTATGTTTTGTATTTATTGTTGTATGGCGACCTTGAGTGTCCAGAGAGGCGCCTAATAAATAAAATGTATTATTATTTATTATAAAATTATACTAAATTACATATAAATATGCAGATTTAAAAATTAAAACCATCAACCATAGTGTGTATAAAGACGTGAATAAGGGAGTCTGACGTCACCCACAGCATTTGGCTCCAGCCAGATGAAGCCAATCAAGGCCATCAGTTAGAGCAGCTAATTTGGAAAACTGAACAAAAGTATTACTGACTACTGGAGACAATCGGGAGCGAGGCTGTTGATGGTAAAACCCCTTCCCTCTTAACAGTGCTGTCAGTCAAACCTGTTGCTAATGCTAGGGGGAGTAACCTCGGAGAAAATAGGCACCTTATTGGTCTGATATTAATGAGATTAATGTGATTGATTAACAAACAAAATAGCAAAATAAAAACCCCAGGATCATGTAGAGTGGGCTAACACAAACATTTTAAGACCAGAATGATGAGTCTGACAGCAGTAGTTACAGAGATAAGGGGAACGTTTTTTCTTTAGAAAGTGAACTGAAGTCAGAGTCGATGGATCCAAATCACACCCATGCTCACTTTCTATTTGCCATGTGAAGGCTAGTAGGTTAGAAATGTCCATTATATATACAGTCTATGCCATCAATACATCATTACTCAAGTCCTGTCCAGCTCAAATTTCCCTTTATTGACGTATTTTAAATTTAAAACTTTTTGGTAAAGGTTTTCTTACAGGTGAATAGCTGTAAGGTTCCCCCCTTTGTGCGTTGTTCTGTGGTTTTTATCAGATTAGATTTTTTTCTCACGGACTGGATGCTTGTAAGGTCTCCCCCTTCTGTGTGTGTCTGTATTTCATATGTGACCTGAGATTAGACCTGGTGGTGCAGGTTTTCTTACAGAGTGAACAGCTGAAAGGTCTCTCCCCTGTGTGCGTCCTCATGTGTACTGCGATGTGACTTTTATGGGAGAAGGATTTGTGACAGACTGTACAGCTGAAAGGTTTCTCTCCGGAGTGAGTCCTCATGTGAGATGTGAGAGTGGAGTTTACTCTGAACACTTTGCCACAGAGTGAACAGCTGAATGGTTTTTCCCCTGTGTGAGTCCTCATGTGGATTTCCAGATGGACCTTTTGTGTGAACGCGCTCTCACACACTGAACAGCCGAAAGGTTTCTCTCCTGTGTGAACTCGGATGTGTTTCTGTAAAGCCTGTTTCGACGCGGAGATCTTTTTACAAAATGGACACTGGTATTTACTGGTTTTAGTTACTTCAGCAGCACTTGAGAGGTCTTCATCGCTCACAGAGGCACGAGCTCCAGTCTGTGGGTCTGAACAGCTGTAGGAAGCGCTCCACTCGTCATCGTCGTCAGTGTCAGAGGAGGACTCCATGCGTCCCTGTGTCTCTGGTTGGAAAAATGTCTCCTCTTCCTCAGTTTCCTCTTTGTGCTCAGTCTGTTCAAACTCTTCTGTTTTCACACACACAACGATAAACCCTGGGGCAGACCTGAAAAATAAAGTAAAAACACTATACTGACCTGTCACCATAGGAAAATCATGTGTTTGAAATAGCCACTTGAAATAAACTCCTGATTTGTGAGAAGGGAAAAAAAAATCATTATTTGAAAAAATGAAAGTAAAGGTTAAACAACTCAGAACAGGGAGTAAAACCTGTGTAATGCACTGTTTTAAGAAGTTAAATCTGCTTATACCAGAGTCCCACAAACTGAAAATGGCTCACTTGTAAAGCTGACAACATTTGGATGTCCATGGATGTTCAAGGCGTTCTTTACTTCTGTTTTGGTGATACTTTGTAGCTGATAACATCACACATCCAGGGAATATTGATAACTAATTGATAAGTGTTGGCACTGCTCTGTCTGAGGCTTTGTTTGACGTTAATCTTATATTTTATCAACTTATTTTAACACAATCTGACCAGAAATTGCCATTAAACAGCAAATTAACGCTTCTTCAAAGATTGTACTTGTTATTTTCCCTTTAATTGTCCTTGTACTGCCCCCCGCTGTCTGTGAGCCTGGTCCTGCAGCTGTTCAGCCTCTACAGTTATAAATGATCTGTTGTTATGCTAATATTTCTAACATGAACACAGAGCTTATGCCAACAAAAGCACAAATTCGATTTGATAAATGGAACACACATTCGATGTTTAACTCTGAGATTACTCTTAGATCAAACCTCTGAGGGTGACTGTATGCAAAGGACTGGTGTAATAGTGAAATGTAGAAATGGTACGTTAATATGTATTTTACAAAATGAAATGTATGATGTTGTAAATACCAAATGCTTTGCTCTGTTGTTGTGTGGTGTGAATGTGTGTGAGAGTGGACAATGTGAATTGTTCTTATTGCCGAATATAATTGCATTGTATAATTTACTTCTGTACATCATGGACTGCAGATGGAAACTGGCCATAATCCAGTGCAGAACATCAGTTTTTTTTTTTGTTTTTTTTTTATGAGCTCAATATCTCTGTACATTGTCCATTCAAATAAAGACTAAACTAAACTGACCTAAACTAGACTGGAATCCAGCATTATACAAATAAAACAGTATAGGTTTGCTTAAGGACACAACAACTGTTTCCACTGGCCTCAGTGATGCCCCACTCTGGTATCTACTATGGAACTGTGGAATTTGCAGTTTAACTGTCAGTTTGTGGATTTGTTGAACAATATTTGTGGATCATAAGTTTTAATTCTTTCAAAAACAGTAAATCTTGGACTGAGCTGTATAGATCCCTGCACTCCATCTGATTATACATTATACATAATTATACATAATGAAGATGAGTTTGCATACACTGGCAGCTGCTCTTCCTCTTCTTTGACGCTCCACTCCTCTTCCTCCTCTTTAATCTGAGGAGTCTCTGGGATTTCATGGTTCAGACCACAACCAGGATTCAGAGAGCGGGCTTGGACAGCTGCAGGAGACACAAGGAAGTGTGTGTAAAAAACAATACAATGACACAATGCAGGAGGAAGATGATGAAGAGATTAGAAGAGTTTCATTCAGACATGTTTAACACATAAATCCTGCATATTTAGGCCAAGTTTTTCTGTCAAACTGAAAACAAACATTTGTCCTTATGATGTCATGTGATACAAGAAGGGCTCCACTGTGTTCTTAAACTCCATAAACCTAAAATCATTTGTATAATTTCAGTCCTGGAATTGCCCATCTCTAATAAACAAATGCAAAATGTAGCTGTTAACTTGAATAACAAGGTGGAGCAGAGCATTTTGAGCTTTGGAAATGTAAGTCTAACAATAAAGGATGAAACAAAGACAACTCCAGGTATGTTTACAGTAGTAGGTAGTATGGCTAAAAGCTCACGAGTCAAGTTTAGGGCTGAGTATCATTAAGAAGTTGCCAATACAATACATACCTTGATACACAGGCCAAGATACAATACATATCTCGATACAGTGCACTGTCAATTCAATACGGTTCAATTAAAATAAAGGCTAAATCATGGCTGTGATACTAAAAGTCTTTGTTAAACCACTTCTTACGGAAAGTGAATATGAAACACACCCATTTTAATCATCAAAACAGTGAAAATGTGAAATGTGTAGTATAAATGAGTTTCCTTCCTCGAGACAAGCAACCAAACTGTAGCACTGTAACCAAATAATTTAGTAAAATATACCAAAAAAATACTGTTGACGATATATCAATACAGCAGCTCACGATATCGATACTGCATCATCACATTAAACGGTACAATATACTGATATTTAGATATTTTTGCACACCCCTAGTCAGTTTTGCATAATATATGACATTTAACAGTGAAAGTGCATCCCATACCCTAACATTTCCTATATTCTGGTGAATTTTAGATAAATTATTTTCACGACTTGATCTGATGTGTTTTTATTGTTAGTGCCAGAGCCCCAGAGGTTCAGATCTTACCTGTTCTAGTAGGTAAATCATCGAGAATCATCATCATGTTCATTCTTTCCTTTAATGCATGCTTTGTACTGACATTTTGCTCTAACTAACAAATAAAGTCCTCTCTCCTCCTCCTTCACGCTCCTCTGTGGTGATCTTTAACTAAATATTGTCTTTTATTCCCCTTCGCTCCATAGTCTGTTATGGTACAGACCCATCCCCGGGCCACGGCGCAGACTCACCCGCTCTGTGCAGCTCTCCTCCCGGCTTCAAGGCCTGGCCCAGAGGCTCCGGTCCGGTTCTGACCCGGCTCTGGTTCTCTTCGGAGCGACACGGCTCCTCCTCTTCCTTAAAGGCTCCCGTGTGGATTTGAGACATTTTTACAACTCGTTTTGAGCTCAAAGAGAAGCACACACCATGGAGTTATTAAAATGCCACCTCAGCCACGTGACTTCCTCCTGCAGCCTGCACAGTGTCGCCCCCTGCTGGGCCCTGTCTGTCTGATGATACAGATTTACATACTGTAGGCGACTTTGAAATTTACTTACTAGTAAAGAAGTTTTCTAGCAGTTTACTCCTACTTCTTCAATAATATTTTTACTGAAGTAGCAATACTCTTACTTGAGTAGTAGCAGTTTTGGTTACTCTTCCCTCTGTGACTAAGTCTACAAGTGATAATCTTTAAATTGACAATATTAAATGAATTCAGCATTTGTGTTTCTTTCACTTCTCCAGATATTAGTTTTTCTAATTTGCATGGTCTATCTTTTGAAAATATCAGATTTAGTGCAATATTGAATGTTTTGTCATTTATTTTACATTAACTCTAAATTATAAATCAGATGTCCCAAAGTGGAACAAAAAAAAAAAAACAAAAAAAATTTCATTTTAGTATATTTCTTGGTTAAAAAGTTACATAATGTGGCTTTAATCATTGTATTTTAGACGTTAAAGATTTTTCACCATGACAGTTGCTGAAACCATTTTAGGAGAAATTAAATAAACCAGAGGCCATTCTTATAACAAGGTAATAAACTTTATATCAAAATACAATATACATATGCTTTTAATCTGAAAGGACACTGTACAAAGAGAGGCTTTTGTTTTGAAAGGACTCATATAAAAATAATATTTTAGGTTTTTCCTGTGCTGAGGTCAGGTGTTCAGTCCTGGTTTAGCTATGGTTCAGTACAGGTTTAGCCCTGATTTAATCCTGGTTTAGTGCTCATTTAGTCCTGGTTCAGTTCTGGTTCAGTCCTGGTTCAGTCCTGGTTCATAAATTAAATGCTGGGTTGGAGAAGTTCCCGTTGGTCTCGTCTTCATTTTCATTGAAATCTTCAGGATCAAGGTCGTTCTCAAACATTCTCTGGATTAGAGCGTCTACTGTGCGGTACCCTGCACAAACACACAAGAGTCAGGACTAAACCTGGACGAACCTGGACTAAAGGTGTACTAAAAGTGGTCTAAACCTGTATTTATGCAGAGCTAAACCAATTATAAACACTCAAGAGTCAGAACTAAACTGGGTCTAAAAATTGACTAAATCTAGACTAAACCAGGTCTAAAAGTGGCTTAAACCTAAATTAAAGTAGGACTAACCAGGTTTAGGTTTACTAGTAGTAGTACTACTAATAGTGTAGTACTACTACTTCTACTTGTAGTAGTAGTACTACATTCCTACTTGCAGTAGAAGTAGTAGTCATAGTACTCACTCTTGGAGGCGATCTTAAAGAGCAGGGCTGGTCTCTTCTTTTGCCCATCCTCCTGTTCACTGTCTATCGTCTCCATCGAGTTCACCAGGTTCTGCTCCAACTTCTCCCTAAAGTACAAGACTGTGAATCCTCTGCTCCACCTGACCCTCCTCTGCATCATCCTGTTCTTACTGTTTTACTCCCAGTTGTAGTTCTTCAATCTTCTTCTCGACTGAGTTCTGAAGATCACTCTTTTCCACAGAATACTCCACAAAGAAGGCCTCCAAGACAAAAGCCACGAAAATACTACAATACAAATACTCAGATCAGAATTGCTAACTGCTATTGCTGCAAGCACTACTACTCCTGTTATTGTTACTTGATGATGATGATGACGACAGTGATGTGAAACAGGAGGAAGTACAGTCTCGCTGCAGAGTGTGTTGTGAGAGAGAAGCCGCTGCTCAACAGTGCCCCCATGAGTCAAGGATCGCTTTGAACAGAATCGTACTGGGTTTGAATAGGGATAGGGAGAGATTTTGCATATTTGCATATTTTGTACATTTTGCATAATACCTCCTATTAAAAATTAACAAGCTATGTTTTTCATATTTTTAAGAAAATCTGGCACAGCGCCTATAAATTGGAAGGATATCATGCCATTGGTTGACCATAGTGAGCTCCAGCAGCAGGACAAACGATGACACCACCTGGTCAACATGAGAACATACATCAGAACATACAACACATATACTAGTTCACTGAGTTTGGTTAAATAAAAGTGAAATAAGACATTAAATATAACTGGACCTGGTTGAAGTTGTTTTTGCAGTAGTTGTGGAGAGCGAAGGCTGTGTCCTTAAGGAGAGGGTTCCCACAATATAGCCGCTCAGGGGCCTCCGATTCTGGGCCGAAAAACTGGACTTTCCCATTAAAAAGCTCCATGCCCACCATTGCAAAGATGTAGTACACCACCTGAACCAGAGGACTATGTCAGATGCCCTTCCGGACAGCTCTATTCCATGTTCTCCCCGTGTGTCAGATGACCTCCCCGTGTGTCAGATGCCCTCCCTCCTCACCAGGATGAGTTGTCCAAATGTGAGGATGGCTGGTCCGATCCTGATCAGAGTGTTGATGATGGCTCGGAATCTAAATATAAAACATTACTGTTGAAATGTCTTTGTAAATATATATTTTTTAAATGTACTATTAGAAATAATACATATGGGATGCATTAATCTAACTTCTCTTCACAAAGCTGAAGTCATATGCAGAAGTGGGCAGTACTCAGTTACATTTACTTAAATAACTTTTTAAAGAATTTGTACTTTTCAGAATACTTTTTACTCCTACTTGAGTAATAAAGTTTATTAATGAAAGTTTTATTAATGGAACAGTACTCTTACTTGACTAAAAGTTTTGGTTACTTTTCCCACTGTGAGTAAGTCTACAAGTGACTGAAGCTCTACGCTGACAATATGAAATTATTTGAACATGAGCATTATTTAATGTTACCCTAACTCCAAATTATGAGAATATTAGATGTTCCTCAAGTTACTCTTACTTAAGTTCTTGGACCACCATTTTGTATTTCTACTTGAGTAGCATTATTTTGAAGTAATGTTAATATTACTTAAGTACAATTTTGGCTACTCTACACACCTCTTGTGAAATGACCGTTTTGTTTACACATATTCGTGATTTTGACTACTACAGTTTACTACACTTTATGTACAAAAAACATTTAGTTTAAATCCCAATGGTATCTCTTCTTAATAATGTTACATGAGTTAATATGAACTCATAATGGGTTAATGGTTAGATTCGTGGTGTCATACAAGAATCATGATGAACAATAGACTGCACAGCGTTCAGGGCCACTCAAATGAAGCTCGTGATGCTAACGGTTACAGGGGTGAATTTTGAGCCAGGCTATATCACAAATAGAATTTTTTTTTGACAAAATAGCGAATAAAAAAAGAAACAGGATGTAGAGCGGGATAATATGAACATTTTAAGACCAAAATGACAGGCCTCACAGCAGCAGTTACAGAGAAAGGGATGACAATACTCTAATGTAAATCAATCGGCGCCAAGGTAAGAAGAAGCCGGAAGTGCCTGCATGAGAACTTTCTGTTTAGAATGCAGCAGCTAGCGTGTTAGCTATGTCCATTTATATACAGTCTATGTAGTGTGGTCTTTTTTTTGGCAATTTTAGAGCAAACTAGTTAAATTTGCAGTTTTCTGGTCAGAAATATACACAACTGAGTGAGTTCTATCTCTACATGTAGTTGGTGACATCACAAGAGACTGTCCTGATTACAGCCAGGTGTTTTTGATTACAAACAGCTGGTTGTAAGGGTGAAGTTTGAAGTGTGGATACCTGTTAGACCACACTCACTGCTCCTTTTAAACCAGTTTAGCAGCGCTATTTGAAATGTCATTGTGGGCGGACTTCATGTATTTAGACTTTAAAGAGGAGCTATCACCTGTTAATACTGTCCACGACCCTGATGAGACGCAGCACTCTGAGGATGAAAACAATGTCCAGGATTTGTCTGCTCGTGTATCCACTGGCTGCACTCAGGGATAATACAGGGACAAATGCAAAAGCACAGAACAACAGTTAATAATGAACAAAACGTAAAACAATATAAGCACAGAGACTCACAGGATTTGAGAGCAGAGTTAGCGATAGTGGCAATGAGAGCAGCCACGACTATAATGGTATCAAACCTGAAAAACAAAAACAGGGTCAGAGGATGCAGAGGAGAGGGTCAGATGAAGCAGAGGATGTAGAGGGTCAGACCAGTTCCAGAAGTTGTGTCTGGAGAAGAAGGTTCTGGGCTCATGGACGTAGAGCTTGAGGATGATCTCAAGGAGGTACAGGGCCAAAAAGAACCACTCTGAGTTAGAGATGAGCGGGTTCTCCTCGTCCAGAGCAATGAAGACTGCGTTCACCAAAATGATCAGGTCAAAGAGGATAATGAAACCTCTGAGAGAGAAAAAAAATCTGCTTAAAGCGGAATAATTCTGCAAAATAGACTTTCTAGAGTTTTCAACCATGTCATATTTTTTTCTCTTCTCAGTTATTCACTCAAAGTTGTATTTAGAGTGATTCATGCATGTCTAAGGAATCTTTATTCTCCTGTGCTACAAGTGCACGCCTACTGCTCTGAACTTTGTTCTCCAATTTTATTTTCTTTGGTGATAAGCATAGGATTGTGGAGCATCACATAGTCATTTTGGTACAAATAATAAAAAAAAAATCCGCTACTTGCTAACGTGATATGCAACTATCCATAGGCGAGGCAAACAACTGCACAGCACTTTGTTGTGAGGACATTTACAGCAAGGTCAGCTCCCATTGGGCACCGAAGTTTCCTACAGCAGAGTCAGAAATGTTTGCTTTATTAAGTAATTTTACATCAATATTGCAATTAAAAATGTCCAAATAATAATGACTACATAATGATCCATGGGTGTCACAGATTATGACTATATAGTTGATAATATAGTAGATACAAGCACAATATGCATGTGACAATAAACCCAAGGTTGTGACATTATTTATAATAAATATATAATGTGGATTTGTTCAAAAATTTGGCCTAAAAAATATTTATTTTAGATTTTTGTGGTCATTGTAGGAATGCTTTTTGGCACTACAGCTTCTCAAATGGTGAAACTCACCAGCACTCAAACCATTTCTGAGACAAATGTGAACATAAGGGAAAAATGTATCCACAATCTTTGCAGCAATTTTATCCCACAAACTGGTCTGCACTCACCTCGACTGGACTCACCTCGACTGGACTCACCTCGACTGGACTCACCTCGATTGGACTCACCTCGACTGGACTCACCTCGACTGGACTCACCTCGACTGGACTCACCTCGACTGGACTCACCTCGACTGGACTCACCTCGACTGGACTCACCTCGATTGGACTCACCTGTGCTGGATGACGGAGCAGAGGAGGCGGCTGGGCTTGGACAGGTAGAGGGTGGGCCATAGGCTCTGAAGGGGGTGTGGCCTCTGCTTCAATGTGATGACCTCAATGTTCAACAGGTCAGCGAGTTGCACAAACGCCAGCTTACCTACAGAACAAACCTGAGTCTAAACAAGGACTGGGCCAGCCCTCAACCAAGACTAAACAAGGACTAAACCAGGACTGAACCACATATAAACCAGGACTAAACAAGAACTAAACTGGGTTTAAACTAGGTCTAAACTAGGAATAAACCAGGTCTACAACATGACCAAACCAGGTCTAGAACAGGACTAAACCAGGATTGAAACAGGTCCAAAAGAGGACTATCCATCCATCCATCCATCCATTTTCGTCCGCTTATCCGGGGCCGGGTCGCGGGGGCAGCAGCCTAAGCAGGGACTCCCAGACTTCCTTCACCCCAGACACGTCCTCCAGCTCCTCCGGGGGGACCCCGAGGCGTTCCCAGGCCAGCCGAGAGACATAGTCCCTCCAGCGTGTCCTGGGTCTTCCCCGGGGCCTCCTCCCGGTGGGACATGCCCAGAACACCTCCCGAGGGAGGCGCCCAGGAGGCATCCGGAACAGATGCCCGAGCCACCTCAACTGGCTCCTCTCGACGTGGAGGAGCAGCGGCTCTACTCCGAGCTCCTCCCATGTGACTGAGCTCCTCACCCTATCTCTAAGGGAGCGCCCAGCCACCCTACGGAGGAAACTCATTTCGAGCGCTTGTATCCGCGATCTCGTCCTTTCGGTCACTACCCAGAGCTCATGACCATAGGTGAGAGTAGGAACGAAGACTGACCGGTAAATCGAGAGCTTCGCCTTTCGGCTCAGCTCCCTCTTCACCACAACGGTCCGATACAGCGACCGCATCACTGCCGAAGCTGCACCGATCCGCCTGTCAATCTCACGTTCCGTCCTTCCCTCACTCGTGAACAAGACCCCGAGATACTTGAACTCCTCCACTTGAGGCAAAGACTCCCCACCCACCCGGAGAGGGCAAGCCACCTTTTTCCAGTCGAGAACCATGGCCTCAGACTTAGAAGAGCTGATCCTCATCCCAGCCGCTTCACACTCGGCTGCAAACCGCCCCAGTGCACATTGCAGGTCCTGGTTCGATGAAGCCAACAGGACAACATCATCCGCAAACAGCAGAGATGAGATCCTGTGGTCCCCAAACCGGACCCCTCCGGCCCCTGACTGCGCCTAAACAATTCTGTCCATAAATCAATGAACAAGAACCTTACCGGGAACCTGAGAGGAGTGTGATCCCCCTATAGTTGGAAACACACCCTCCGGTCCCCCTTCTTATACAGAGGGACCACCACCCCAGTTTGCCAGTCCAGAGGTACTGTCCCCGACCGCCACGCGATGTTGAAGAGGCGTGTCAGCCAAGACAGCCCCACAACATCCAGAGACTTAAGGTACTCAGGACGGATCTCATCCAATCCCGGAGCCTTGCCAGGGGACTAAACCAAGTCTAAACTCCGTCTACCTATGGCGCCCTTCTCCTCTGGGTCACAAACGCTCCACAGCAGCTCTTTATGGGCGTGGCTTATGTCGGGGCGAACTCGACGGACCAATCGGCTCCATCTGTCATGTGTAACCACAGGCTCTGCCCCCTCGACGCTCTTCTGTTGCAGTACAGCGAAGGCACGTGCCATTTTGTGTCTTTTGGCCCTGACCAGCTGCCGTACCTCCTCCTGAACACAACAGGGATAATTGAGTTAAAAGACCTGTATCCACTTTTTTCCCATGTATTTGAGCAAAATTTGTCTTGTCCCAGTACAGATTAGTGTCACAATACTAAAATCTGAAATTCCATTTTGATATTAAGGAATAGACTTGATACTTAATACCGATTCTGAATATCTCAATAATGGAAAAAATACTCTTTCTTTAGACAACAGAATGTGATTATCAACATTAAATAATAGCATTTCTTTTATATTACCCTGTGGCCTTGTATCTGTGTAATGCCTCAGTTGTCCGAGTAGGTGATCTTATACTTGTTTTGATACAGCTATAGATTATTCAAAATTATTCACAAAAAATGTATTGCTGTACAGATATATTGTATAAGCAGCTGTGTAGCAGTAGTAGTAGCAATAGCAATAGCAATAGTAGTAATGGTAGTAGTAGTAGTAGTAGTAGTAATAATAATAGTAGTAGTAGTACTGTATTTTCTGGGCTATTAGACGCGCTCTTAAGCCTCTAACTGCATCAAAAAACTACCGTGCGCCCCGCAAATCCAGAGCGCCCTATACACGAATCCACTTAGGTGTCCCAACACGACTTCAGTAAACCACAAAGCTGCACCACACGCAGCGCACGCAAACACGCACGGAGCAGACAGCGACCGCGCAGCGAAACATACCCATAGCCACACTCATCACTCCACGCGGACGAGAAACGGAACGAAGGAACAAACCGAAAAAGCGAGTGCAATGTGCTTTTCTGACCAACAACTGAACAACTGAGTCACTGCGAACATGCCAACAATCCAATCCAATCCGGTCCCAGACAGCACCCTCCCTACACATCACAACTGAACAAAGCCCAGAGTCACCATGAACGCGCCAAACAAAGTCCCAAAGTCCAAAGACCGTTCAATGACAGTGCATGTTACAATCCAGAGCGCCTAATAGCCCATAAAATATGGTAGTAGTGGTAGTAGTAGTAGTAGTAATAGTAGCAGTAAAAGTAAAAGTAGTAGCAGTAATAGAAGTAGAAGTAATAATACTACCTTGAGATGCTTCTTGTAGTTGTTGTAGACCACAGCGAGGAACACAGACATAAAGATGTAAACATTCACCAAGATGAAGACGATGAAGAAGATGGAGAAGATCGAGCTGGAGTTATATGCCGGCATCCTGGAAAAAACATGAGAGAAAATACTTTAAGCAATAAAACAACTGAGAGGAACACACAGAACCTCCTCCAGATCTCAGCCACGATTTTGGTAAGGAGTGCCAAGCTGGAAGACTGAGCATGTATTGGGTTGATATAGTGCATTTTTAATAGTTAATAATAGTTAATAATAATAGTTTAATATAGTTTAACGTAACTATGGTCAAATACAGACACAAGCAATCTGTTTAATTGTAGTATTTTGTATTTTTCTTTCTTATCTTTTCTTATCTTATAATATGTCCAAACTGTTGAATGTAGTGATGGTAGTAGTAATATGTTGGGCTGCCAATCAGTGGTTTCAATATTTATTAGATTACTTGTATAAAAATTCAACTATATTCTTCATTTCAATAATGCAATATGTTTTTGTGTTTCATATTGCTCATTTTTATAATGTACTATATATAATTCACTTGTAAACCACCCTTAAATCTTTCACGTCTAACCTGTGTTGCATGTAGGCCAATTAACCACAAAGCAATTTCTCTTGGGTTGATCTGTGATCACTGTTCCCCACAAAAGCTCAAAACCAGACTAAGGTCACCCCATTTAAGCAAACACCGTGGGAGGCTGTGGTTTCACTTTCAAGAAGTAATAATAATAGTATCTCACCTGATGGCTGTTGGCTGTGCTTTAGTGGCAGCATTAGTTGTAGCTGCAGTAGTAGTAGCAGTACTAGCAATATCAGTAGTACTAGTATCTTACATGACGTTGGCTGGTTTAGTGGTACTATTGTATTAGCAGTAGCTGCAGCTGTAGTAGTAGTACTAGTATTAGTATCTTACATGATGTCGGGGCTGTTGGCCGTGGTGACAAGAACGTAGAGGTCGAACACAATCTGGAGAAAGTTTGTGAAATAAGGAGCTCCATCTGTGGTCTTCAGGCCTCTGACAAAAACAAGCATTCAAATATATGTTTTATAATTTAAACATATGCATTTTATTGATTTATTTCTGTAGTGGGACTAAACACCTTAACTTCTAGAAATGCCTTTCAAATAAAGCTGCAAACTGGGCCACGCCTGGAGGGGAGTGAGAGAGGAGGAGAGGCGAGGTCTGGAGGTATAAAAACAGTATGATTGGTCTAACTCAGCAAACTCCACCCATGCAACCAGGTGTTTGTGATCAGAAACACCTGTCAGTAATCAGGGCAGTCTTGTGTGATGTCACATAGTTCAGTGCAAACTTTGACTTAGGCCTTTCTGACCAGAAAGTTGCAAATTTGCCTAAACCTGCCAAAAAATGACCAGAAACAGTAGGCTATACTATTACTATATACCCAGTTTAGTAGCCAAAAAATGGCATTAGTGTTTAGTTCCACTTTCATTACAACTGTAATTGTTTTTCTGACCGTTTGGAGAAGAGCTTGAGGGCCATGAGGGAGAAGATGAGGATGCTGAAGATGAAGAGGAGGAAGACAAGGAGGATCTGAGGAAGAGCGTTCCTGATGCTCCTGAAGGCTTGACGCAGCTAAAATGAATAAACAAACAAACAAAAGTAAAAAGGTGAGGAGCTCAGATTAGAGACACTGCTCCAAATGTAGGAGAGCAGCCAAGGCCTCTGGAGCCAAAGACCCAGTACACTAACCCATCAACCAGTTTGTACTGTTAAATAAGTCTCTCTAAAATAATATTACAGTCACAATCGAGCTAGCATTAGCCAACAGTTATTCAGTTCGTCACACTCACCTTTTTTGATGAAAATGAAACAATTAAACAGGATGGGTTAGCCTCAACTGTGGTGCATGTTGTTTGGTAAATCTGCATTTAAGGACATTGTGTTTTTTACCTGTCTCCGCTGATGCTTATGAGCAGCAGAGGTCTGAGGCTTGGTCTTAGTGGCGCATGTTTTGGCTGTTGTTTGATAATGTGTTCATTGACCCTGAGTATTACTTGTCTTCCTTTGGCCTGCTGCATTTAAGGACTATGTTTTTTCACCCATTTCCCCCCTGTAATGTTTACATCTGAGGACTCTAGTTCAGACTTGGTTTTAGAGGTGCACGTTTTGGCTGTTGTTTGGCGATGTGTTCGTGGACGCTGGGTGATGGCAGTGCTACTGTAATGTTGCAGTTAAGGACCCTAGGTTATTTACCCGTCTCCCTTCTGTGATGTTGACCAGCAGCAGAGGTCTGAGGACTCTCGACCAGCGCACTCCAGAACAGTCCAGCGCTCTGAGAGACCCATAGATCAGCATGTCCAGCAGGGTCAGCTGAGAAAGGAGAGACTGGCTTTAGACCTGGTTTAGACCTGGTTTAGACCTGGTTTAGACCTCCATTTTGACTGAGACCTCAATTAGAATAAGCTTGAAGTCAATTTTTAAAAGGCTCTGAAGACACGTCCTGCCGATCGATTAGTTAGCTAAAAAGGGTATGGGGCAAAAGATCTCTCATCTTATCTTCATGCACTCACCAGACAACACCTACACAGGAGTTCATGCAAAAAACAACTATTTATGCAGGAAAAAAATCACCTGAAAAAAATAAACTTGTGATTCATGAGTTTAATTTGCCTTTTTACATAAACACTAAAAAATAAAAAAATTTTAGATAACCAACTCACTCACTAACTTCTCCTTTCTGCTGCTGTCCCATATAATTCCTCATAATTTACATAAAATGATTAGTCGACTAATACAAATTACACATAAATACCTAAACCACTAAAGGACTACAGCCCTAGTTTAGAACCAGTTAGTGTAATACTTTATAACTGTGTTCAGGAAATTCAGGGGTCCAGTGAGTGAAAAGTCCATGAACAGTTGTCTAAAGTGACCCCCCCTCACTGACTGTGCGGCACATGTGGACAGAACAGAGCGGGGAGGGGCTGGAGGGAGGTGAGGGTGTGAGTGTTTGTGTGGATGTGGGGGGGCATGGAAGGGGGGGAGGGGGGATGGGGTACTGAGGAAGTGAGAAGAGCTGACGGAGCTGGACTCAGGGCATTTCTCAACTTCAGCCTCAGCAAAAAAAATGTGACTCAAATTGGACAAGAACTGAGCCGGACATATGCACAGAATCTGACACCGCAAAAATGGCAAATTATAGATATCAAGAGGGTGTGAGGTCAGAGCCTTGTTAAAAGTCTTTGTTGCATGCTCTTTTATTTATGCTTTATATACTACTAGTGCCACAGTACTTGGCATGTAAAAGTGGCATCTGACCTAACTGCTAACCTGAGGGAGAATTTTCTATCTATGAATGTCCATGAGCGCCCCCTACCACCAGAATGATGTCATACGTGAGCACCTCTTACCGTCAGGATGGCGATGATGCAAAGGTTTTTAGGGTCCTTCCAGAACTTGTCGCGTGGTATAACTTTAGCATAGTGCGTGAGGCGAGCGATGAAAACCAGAATACACAACAGTTCCACGGACATGGTGGCCTGAAGACAGGTGGAAACAAGTCAGATGGCCTCCCTGTGTGTCAGATGCCCTCCCGTGTGCAGACTCACCCAGAGCGGCAGAAGGACCACAGCTGGATCCTCAAACAGAGCCAGAGACAGATCCACCAGAATGAAGAAGTACACTGCCACCTGAAGGCCCCAATGGTTATACAGTATGTACAGCCTGAAAACAGAGACAAAAATATCCATAAATGTTTTTCCTGATCATTTCTGTTAGTGATAGGATTCAATCTCCTGCTACACTGATTCAAACCTCACCAACCTCAACAATATCTGCAGATTAATTATATCTGCAGATTAATTAGAGACATTTGACATCTTATTTTAACACAAGAGGGGTTTAGGAATGGGAGAGCATCGGACACACAGGGATATAAGAAGATGGAAGGGCATCTGCCACAGATAGAAAGGAGTATGGGAGGGCATCTGACACAATACCTGACAGCCTGAGGGGAGGAGTCGAAGAAGATATTTCTGTTAAACTGAGCATCGGACACAAAGATGGAGGCCAAGTCCAAATCCAGGTCCTGGAACAAAACCCACATTACAGGTGGCAAATTAAGACAAGCAGGTCACACCATCAGTCTAAGTTGCAGGTCACATCCGTGAAGAGGCAAGCCCACAAAGAATAAAAGTCCTTTTGACCAATTATATATATGTATGATGAAAAACTAAACGGGCCATATTATGCTATTGTCAGATCTGTTAATAATGTAATATTAATGGATTAATTCTGTTTCCTCATCAAAAACATGCTTGGAGTTGTGAATTATTTCATTCACTTCACAGAGCAAAATAATATTTAGGCTCTCAAACTAAAAGCACTCTGTTCCACCTTGTGAAGTCATGTGGTAATACAGGAAATGCTATACTGTGTTTTTAAACTCCACATGCATTTTGAGCTTTGGAGATGTAGACAGATTAATAAGAAAAGCTTAATCAAACATTTGTGAATGACACAAATCACAACCAGGTATTTTTTTATTTTAAATTTAAAATTTGTAATGAGGTAACAACATTCTTACAAGAGTAAATTTTGCATAGGACCTTTAGACCCTATGCCAGGAAGGTTACACAGTGCAGTTTTAAATAAGTCATATTTGCTGTATTCTTCCCCACATTGCCCTCATATAAAATGCAGCTTTAGTCAAAAATTTACTTGTCCGTTAAACTATAAAACAGAAAATGCTGACTCCATTCATTCAGATGCTGACTTCATTCAGTCACATGACACACTTTACTCTGATAAAACATAAACTGCAATGGGCTGGCTATGCATCAGTGGAGGTTCATTTAATGTACATTTTAGTGCATTTTTGTGAGTAAATGGACTTTATGGGTATTGTTAATGAATCAGAATAATGTTAGAATAAGTCATGACGATACGGTGCAAAATAAGACAATAATAAAATAAGCTAAATGTCTTGATTCCAAAAACATTGTCTAGATAAATGTAAATAGTTTAAACCATTTAAGTACAAAAATATGATAAAACATGCATTCAGTTGGTGAATTTTAAATAGGGCATTCAAACTGGACTTTTATACATTGCTAAATTAAAGAATTGTCATCATTACCTAACATGTAATATTAATCCAACTATTAAATACATTAACTAAACTTTAATTGAAAGTTGGAGCTTATATTTAAAGAATGGAGAAAATTGTAGATATCTGACATGTTACCAAACAACAGGATTTTATAAAAGTGATTAAAGTATAGATCTTGTCACATTTCTGTTTCTGAATGATGTAAGATCTTTGCAGGCGCAGGATTTTACTTTAAACACTGTGGTAGGATCAAAGCATAACTGGTTTAAATGGCTTTTCCAGATTTTATTACGTTTATGATAATGCAATGGGCAATAAGTCTAATTTTGCTATGCCAATATATGAACCTCTAAGACCCAGTGTTGCCCCGGTCCAGGTCGGTTCAGCCCCGTTAGCTCGATCCCTGCACAGCGGTGGATGCACTCACCTCCTCCTTGCTCTGCTCCCCACTCTCCCCCGCTGTCTCCGCCGCGCTCACGGGGCTCTTCTCCGGCTCCGACATCTCCGCAAAGTTCCCCCAAAACGACACCTACACTACCGCCCAGAGTAACCCCCGAAAAGAGCACCAAACTCGGACACGACCCACACTAAACCCCGCCGCTGCAGCTGGAAGTTGTTTCCTCCACGTCTCGTGTTTTTTCGGATGTTTCCGTGACAGAGTCGGCGTCAGAGCAAATCCACTGGAGGGGCGTGGGTCACCAGCAGGGGGGGCACTGCCATTTGAGAAATATTTTAACGCGGTGGAGTCATACACAGCAGATATGCTATCAAACACGTTTTTCTTTAACAGTATGAGGCTAATTATGTGTTGTTGTTATTTTTATCATTATTTTATTAAAATTATTATTATTAGCTGCAATAGTTGTTGAGGCTGTATGGTAGACGATACGCACACAAGACAATAATAAAAGGTTGAGGTTTATTAAAAAACAATAAGGCCTGCCACTTTTTGTAAACATTAAACGACAGCCTCTCGTCAAAAACACCCCTGAACAACATCGCTGAAAGAAGCAATCGGGCAAGAAATACCCACGCATCGGGCAGCACCAGAGCTGTAGTGGGCGTGGTACGCGAGGGTACACCATCCAGTACTGTCCTATAGAGACCTGAGACTTGAGGGACCGGGACTAAACCAGGACTAAAACAGGACCAGTGGCAGCTGGTGGTATAATTTTTGGGAGGGGCACCAAGGCCAAAATTATAAATATATATTATGAATAATATAAGTATTATATATATATAGTCTTTAGTATTATAACAAATACCAAAAACAGACATTTTGGTTACTATTGGATGAACAATATCGATCAGAGCACAATGAAGAGCCAAGCGCAAACTTTACGCAACAACACAACCTAACACGCCGCTCACACCCAGACCCAACAGAGGCTACGATCACAACATGAACACAGATGCCGCTCCTACAGCACATGGCAGAACAACCAGAGCAGCGTCATCGCACCCGCGAGCTCATTTACGCACTATTTAACTATTAACACTATAACACTCTTTACCTGTGAGGCTTCATGTTCAGATTTGCCGCAAACTAATGAAAACAAGCCTCTTACCTTCTCCAGAGACTGAAGCAGAGTGTTTCCTCTGTCCACTGTCCCACTGGTTCTGTCTCCAAAACTCTATTGTCCAATATTAAGAGATGAAACTGGTCCGTGACGCGAGGTCCAGGAGCCGAGTGCACAAGATGGTAGTAAAATTAGTCTTAATCCCACTTCCCACTTAAATCTGAAAATTACGGTCAGTCCATATCAGCACCGGACACCTAGTAGAATTATGCCTCTGCGCACTATGCTTAGGTCAAACTTTTACACCCAGAAACGAGCGGGCAAAGGTGGGTAGAGCAGCGAGCGACTGCCCTGGCCCCGGTGGCGACTGCCCCAGTCCCGGCAGCGACTGTCACGAGTCCGGGCGGCGACTGTCCCGGGTACCGGCAAAGAATGTCCCGGCCCCAGCAGCGGTAGCGACAGTCCCGGGTCCCGGCGGCGGGTCTGTCAGTGTCTTTGACTCTGTTCTCGCCATTTCCTGTGTGGAGCTTTAGGCTAAAGTAGCAGCTGCCGCTAATCGTGAAGCTGCTACGAGTTGACGCAGCAGGTTGACATGAGTGACAGGACAGTTGTCCAATCACACTACACTAAATAAACAGAGACTGTGATATCGTAAAGTTTGTGCCCTCAGCCCGAAGTGAAATGTGCCAATCAAAATCATTTTTCCATTCCATTCCATTTTCTTCCGCTTATCCAGGGCCGGGTCGCGGAGGCAGAGTCTAAGCAGGGACTCCCAGACTTCCCTTTCCACGCAACCTTCCTCCAGCTCTTCTGGGGGAACCCCGAGGCGTTCCCAGGCCAGCCGAGAAACATAATCCCTCCAGCGTGTCCTGGGTCTTCCCCGGGGCCTCCTCCCAGTGGGACATGCCCAGAACATCTCCCGAGGGAGGCGTCCAGGAGGCATCCGGAACAGATGCTCGAGCCACCTCAACTGGCTCCTCTCATCGTGAAGGAGCAGAGGCTCTACTCCGAGCTCCTCCCGTGTGACTGAGCTCCTCACCCTATCTCTAAGGGAGCGCCCAGCCACCCTGCGGTGGAAACTCATTTCGGCCGCTTGTATCCGCGATCTTGTCCTTTCGGTCATTACCCAGAGTTCATGACCATAGGTGAGGGTGGGAACGAAGACTGACCGGTAAATCGAGAGCTTTGCCTTTCGACTCAGCTCCCTCTTCACCACAACGGTCCGATACAGCGACCGCATCACTGCCGAAGCTGCAGCGATCCGCCTGTCAATCTCACGCTCCATCCTCCCCTCACTCGTGAACAAGACCCCGAGATACTTGAACTCCTCCACTTGAGGCAGGGACTCTCCACCCACCTGGAGAGGGCAAGCCACCTTTTTCCGGTCGAGAACCATGGCCTCGGATTTAGAGGAGCTGATCTTCATCCCAGCCGCTTCACACTCGGCTGCAAACCGCCCCAGTGCACATTGCAGGTCCTGGTTTAATGAAGCCAACAGGACAACATCATCTGCAAACAGCAGAGATGAGATCCTGTGGTCCCCGAACCGGACCCCCTCTGGCCCCTGACTGCACCTAGAAATTCTGTCCATAAAAACAATGAACAGAACCGGTGACAAAGGGCAGCCCTGGCGGAGTCCAACATGCACCGGGAACAGGTCTGACTTACTGCCGGCAATGTGAACACTGCTCCTGCTCCGGTCACACAGGGACCGGACAGCCCTTAGCAAAGGGCCCCGAACCCCATACTCCCAGAGCACCCCCCACAGGACACCACGAGGGACACGGTCGAATGCCTTCTCCAAGTCCACAAAGCACATGTGGACTGGTTGGGCAAACTCCCATGAACCCTCGAGCACCCGATGGAGAGTGTAGAGCTGGTCCAGTGTTCCCCGGCCAGGACGAAAACCACACTGCTCCTCCTGAATCCAAGGTTCGACTATCGGCCGGATTCTCCTCTCCAGTACCCTGGAATAGACCTTACCGGGGAGGCTGAGGAGTGTGATTCCCCTGTAATTGGAACACACCCTCCGGTCCCCCTTCTTAAATAGAGGGACCACCACCCCAGTTTGCCAGTCCAGAGGTACTGTCCCCAACCGCCACGCTAATTTGAAGAGGTGTGTCAGCCAAGACAGCCCCACAACATCCAGAGACTTAAGGTACTCAGGACGGATCTCATCCACCCCCGGAGCCTTGCCACCAAGGAGCTTTCCAACCACCTCAGTGACTTCAGCCAGGGTGATGGATGAGTCCGCCTCTGTGTCCCCAGTCTCTGCTTCCTCCTCGGAAGACGTGACGGTGGGATTGAGGAGATCCTCAAAGTATTCTTTCCACCGCCGGACAACGTCCCCAGTCGAGGTCAACAGCTCTCCCCCTGCACTGTAAATAGTGTTGGTGAAGAACTGCTTCCCCCTCCTGAGGCGCCGGATGGTTTGCCAGAACCTCTTTGAGGCCGTCCGATAGTCCTCCTCCATGGCCTCCCCGAACTCCTCCCAGCTCAGAGTTTTTGCCTCTGCGACCGCACGAGCTGCCACACGCTTGGCCCGTCGGTACCCATCAGCTGCCTCAGGAGTCCCACGAGCCAATAAGACCCAATAGGACTCCTTCTTCAGCTTGACAGCATCCCTTACTTCCGGTGTCCACCACCAGGTTCGGGGATTGCCGCTGCGACAGGCACCACAGACCTTACGCCCACAGCTACGAGCGGCCGCATTGACAATGGAGGTGGAGAACAGAGCCCACTCGGACTCCATATCTCCAGCCTCCCCCGGGATCTGGGAGAAGCTCTCCCGGAGGTGCGAGTTGAAAATCCTGCTGACAGAGGGCTCCGCCAGACGTTCCCAGCAGACCCTCAAGATACGCTTGGGTCTGCCAGGTCTTCCCGGCTTCCTCCACCGCCAGCGGATCCAACTCACCACCAGGTGGTGATCGGTTGACAGCTCAGCCCCTCTCTTCACCCGAGTGTCCAAGACACATGGCCGGAGGTCAGATGACACGACTACAAAGTCGATCATCGACCTCCGGCCTAGGGTGTCCTGGTGCCACGTGCACTTATGGACACCCTTGTGCTCAAACATGGTGTTCGTTATGGACAAACTGTGACTAGCACAGAAGTCCAATAACAGAACACCACTCAGGTTCAGATCGGGGAGGCCGTTCCTCCCAATCACCCCTCTCCAGGTGTCACTGACGTTGCCCACGTGGGCATTGAAGTCCCCCAGTAGAACAACGGAGTCCCCAGTTGGTGCCCTGTCTAGTACCCCTCCCAGGGACTCCAAGAAGGCCGGGTACTCTGCACTGCTGTTCGGCCCGTAGGCGGACACCACAGTGAGAGACCTGTCCCCGACCCGAAGGCGCAGGGACGCGACCCTCTCGTTCACTGGGGTGAACTCCAACACGTGGCGACTGAGCTGTGGGGCTATAAGCAAGCCCACACCAGCTCGCTGCCGCTCCCCACAGGCAACACCAGAAAAATGGAGGGTCCAACCCCTCTTCGAGAGGTTGGGTACCAGAGCCCAAGCTGTGCGTGGAGGTGAGCCCGACTATATCTAGCCGGTACCTCTCAACCTCCTGCACAAGCTCAGGCTCCTTCCCCCCAGTGAGGTGACGTTCCACGTCCCTACAGCCAAGTTCTGTGTCCGTGGACTAGGTTGCGGGGATCCCTGACCCCGACCGCTGCCTAGTTCACATCGTACCCGACCCCTATGAAACCCTCTGCGGGTGGTGAGCCCACAGGAGGGTGGGCCCACGTCGTCCCTTCAGGCTTCAAAATCATTTTTAAATAGTAACAATAACGGACTGTGCTGGGGGGTGGGGCACCAGTGGCCGCTAGGGGGGGCACGGCCCTCAAATGCCCCCCCTTGCCGCCGACACCGAGTCCCTTCGGGCTTCAAAATCATTTTTAAATAGTAACAATAACGGCCTGTGCTGGGGGGTGGGGCACCAGTGGCCGCTAGGGGGGGCACGGCCCTCAAATGCCCCCCCTTTCCGCCGACACCGTTCCGTGAGGACTTGAACCGAGGGCGCAGCGTCCGGAAAAAACAGATGTGGAAAGCGCAAAAGCAGCTGTGGCTCAAACTTCAAGGACTTGTTCCATGACTTCCAGAGCGCAGCGGGTCTCTGGACTCGCTCTGGCCGAGGAGGAGCGAAGGAATGTGGGGAAGAAGGACGGACTGTGACGTGGAAACATCTGGAGGACTAGGCTTACTACACTGGCTAGATTTCAACAGATTTGGTTCAAATTACCTCGAGAAAATATTAGGCCTACTGAGTGTTAAAACCACAGAATGTATGTTTGTAGCCAATAAGTGTCTAAAAATGTATAAAAAGCATGTAAGCATGTTTTTGTTTTTATTATTTTTGAATGTTTTTGTTTTTGCTCTGAAAACTGCACTGTGCGAGAGCTTGCACCTCCACAAATCTGGCCTGGAGAAGTGCCTCCTCCTGCTTGTTTCTATGGAAATGACCAAACAAAAAACAAAAAACGTAACGACTTTAAATTGAACTCTGGAATGAAAAACATAGAAATTGCTGTAAACTCAAACTCAATTTCTATATTGTGGACACAAATAAATTGAAGTTGCGCTTAACATTGAACATTGATGTAAGGAGCATTTTCGCCCTCTGCTGATCACAGTGCAGAAAGTATGTCCTGTAAAAAAAACAGGGCAGTGGGAATTCATTTTATCAGAACTAAACTAAATAAAAGTGTATTTGGAGAAACTGACATCATTATCCACGTGTTGGATCATTTTATTCATGCACAGATTGATATTCCACACGTTAGTAAAATACAAACTAAATATGAATGTAATATAAAAATAACAAAACAGATTCACATTAAAAGTATGAGATGTGTAAAGAGAGACAGATGTTCAAAGTTTTCCAACCAACAGGAATTTTATTTTGAAGATAAAAACTTTAGCAGTTGTCTTTGAAATATGACAAATTTCCTTTTCTACATTTTGTGTACATAAAGTTATTACAGGCTTAAAAACAGCATCAGTGATTAACAATAAATGATATGGTTAAAATACTGTATGACATTAAAATAAATATTTCATCAACAGCTTTGGATTCATTTTAAAATAAAGTGCTTTTTAATTGATTTAGGATTGGTAAGAATAATAATAATAATACGTTTTACTTTCCTATTTAAATTGTCAATCATAATGTCAAGGCAAAAATAACACATTAGGCCACATATTTTATAAAATAATTCTTCATTATAATATCTGACAATAATAATGTCACTGTGGACGTATGCTAAGCTAACAAGGCATTCATAATTTGATTAAAAAAAAAAAAAAAATTCCATAAGTTTCACTCTTAAACAATACAATTAGATAATCAGATAATATGATTAGCTAAAATAATTCTTTAGGCGCTGATTGGTTTTACACACAATAAAATTATAGAAAAATAACTTTGTGTCATATGAATGATTTGGAAGTTAACAGCATTCAGATAAAGACATATGTAAACAAATGGACCAAAAGACCAACCAAGTAGTGATGAACTACCCCAGAACTAAACCAGGGCTAAATCAGATGTAAACTAGGACTGAAAAAGGACTAAACCAGGATTAAAACCGAACTAAATCAGGTAATGTCACAAAAAACACCAAACTAACTCAGAACTAACCCAGATTTAACGCAGGATCAAGCCAGAAATAAACCAGGAATAAACCATGACAAAACCAGCTAAGGTCTAGCCCAGAATTTACCCAGGACTAAATCAAGTCTAAACCAGGACTAAAACAGATCTAAATTAAGAACCAAGATCAAACCATTGAAAGCACTTATTTTGAGTTTGATCATTTAGATTTTTTCTTATTTTATTATTTCACTATAATTTTAAACTTTTAAGGCCAAAATTTGGAATTTATGTCGTTCAAGCTTTTGGTCTTTGGTCCATTTCAAAGATACAGTAGAGTGGTGTCCAGCAGGGGGCAGTGACGAGCTCAGTTCCAGCAGATGGGATTGACCACAGCAGTCACAGGGTTATTCTGTGTCATTGTGCCTCACAGAGAGAGGGTCTCTGGTTTGGTCTCTGGTTTCTACAGACTAATTTAGGTAGTCCTGACCAGGATCCTGGCTCAGATCTGGTTCTGGACAGGTTGAATCCAGTGAACATTGAATGATGGGTCAAATGCAAGGGACACATTTCAAACAAAATAACAAAGTACACCTTAACTTACAGTAATATTAGTGTTGCGATGTGTGATGAGGATCATGAAGTCACTAAGCCTGTCACGATAATTACTATATTGGCTTATCGTTCAATGCATGATAGATGGGACAAGCATTTTTGGGGGTGAATATTTATTGTGTATACCTCTTTGCACCAGTGGATGATTTGGTTATTTTGTGGAAATGCATTAAGATTTAAGGTGTAGAGGATTCAATTAATTTCTATGACTCATAAAAAATTGCATCCTCCAGTTCAATTTTTTTAAGAATATTGTACATTTATAATAGTTTTTGTTTGCCTGGCAAATCCAGAATGATATCTCTGTATTTATATACAGGCTCATATCATCTGGTCCCCATGCCATCCATTGAGCCTCAAACCCAGTCAAACATGATTGCGCAGATTTGTTTTTCAGTGATGTATGTGAAACAAATGAGCTCATTGATCACCTATCATTTACAAATAAAATATAATTTATCTAATTTCAGATTAACAGATTTTAGTGCTTGGCTCATTGATTCTGCAGGAATGTACAATGTTTTTCAGCTCCTCATGATATTTTTTCCTATATGGACTTTATGTGGCTAATCCACCTGACAATCACGCCCATCTTAAAACAGGAGATTCACTGATAACCAGACTCACATTTTTGTAAATTATTTAAGAAGTTTGTATTTTGGATCCCAGGCAGGTTTTGGGGGGGATCATCCTGCTTTAGGGTATTTGTGTCAGTGTCATAAATTTGATTCAGTATTACTGTTTGTTACAGAATGTTAGGACTGGAAATGTGGAAGTTGTTTTGACAGAGGAGGAAATACCGGCTTTGAGTGTTGAGTGTTTGTTTGTCTAAAGCGGACATCCCATAATATTTTGTGAGGTGACGTCTCAATCTATTTGGCAACTGTGAAATGCACTATTTAAAGGCTCCATGCTATGCTATTTTCTGATCTATGTTATAATTTAGTTTTTCTCATCAAAACATACCTTGACTTATTTTGTTCATTCACACATGTAACACACAATCCTGCACATTTAGGCCAAACGTTTTCCTAAAAATGAAAACACTCTGTTGCACTTTGTGATGTCACGTCCTAATACAGGTAGTGCTCGACTGTGTTTTTGAACTCCATATACCTTCACTGAAAGCATTTGGATGATTTCAGCCTTGGACAGGGAGCCCAAACTCTACTGAACTAAAGGTATAAGGTAGCTGCTGTAGACTTAAAAAACTACCACTTCATGACATCACAAGGTGGAATAATAATAAAGGATTACTCAAACATGTGTGAAAGAAACAAAACACAACTCTGGGTATATTTTTTTTTACATGGTGTAATATATGACCTGTATTATTTCTGCCAACCTAAGGCACAGTGTGAATGGGCTTCACAGCAGTTTGGGCCGTAGGGGGTTGGGTCTGACTGAGGAGAAGGCCCCGATGTGAGTGATGAGGTTGGGTTCGAGGCTGTGGGCACGTTCCCCTGCCGCTCGAGCAGACTGGTACAGGACCAGGTCTTTGGCGTTCCCTTTAGTGCAGAATGCAGCGTCCAAAATATCCGCCACACGCAGAGATGAGTTACCAGGGAACAACATGCCAGGAGTGCAGCATTCGGTCGCTGGGGAAACCGCGTAAAGCTGAGGTGAAAAACGACGCAATTCAAGAAGGTAGTGACGGCCAAAAAGCTCTGCAACTGCCATAAAATACAATGTAAAGAAGAGCAGGTTAGCGCGAGAAAGAGAGAAGGCTACAGGGAGGCGTTTACAAAAAGGCAAAGCTAAGAGTAGAGTTGTAGCGAGCACTGAACCAAGACCAATCCACTCCAAAATGCGGTAAGGTTCAGGGTTGAAATAACGCTGCAGTCTCTCTGGATGGTACAGTTTAACGTAAAGAGAATTTCGAATAAAAGTGCGTGAAAGAAGGTTATAAACTACCTGAAAAAAGTCTGATTTTGGCAAAGCATCGTCCTCTAAAACTATAATGTTTTTAGCGTGTGTTAGCTCCCAGCCTTTACGTAAACAAAAGATGTAATCACGCTTCTCTTTTTCGAATGTGTTCACAAAGTCCAAATCCGTTTCACGTTCTTTAAAAGTGCGCCGAACAACTTTAAAATGGTTTCTGAGTAAAATAGCATCTTCGTTTTCCTGGTTTCCGTGTTGTACGTCACAGATGAGAAGGTCAGCGCAGTGTTGGAGCCCCTCACAGCTCAACAACATGTCGTGCAGGGTCTTCATCACCTGCAGAAGATAATGAAACTCTTTCGCTTCACTGCGTCTAGATGTCACAATTGTCACCAGTAAATTCGTCTGTTCAGAAAGTTCCGAAAATTCTGAGTTTTCTTTGGTTTTCCAGAATGTGAGTGCGTCTTGTCCACGGTGTAGGCTCTGTATGAGCACAGCTTCGCTCATGGAGTCCAGGAACAGAGGTTTGATGAAGTAGTAGGAGTAGAGCAGGCGGTGGCAGCAGAGAGGAAGCAGGACGCAGAAGGTGAGGACGCACAGACAAAAAGCCTGGAACACGACACTGGTGCGACGCAGGTACGGAGCCAGAAGAGGGCGCCATCGAGGCATCGGGAACGCATCCGACTGAAACAGAGGAGAGAGAGAGAGAGAGAGAGAGAGAGAGAGAGAGAGAGAGAGAGAGAGAGAGAGAGAGAGAGAATATAATCAAAACAAACAGAAAACGCACACCAAAAGAGAGGTGCAAATGCAAGGAGCAGCCAGACAAGAGTGAAAAAATGCATAGCACACTCAGATGGCCGATGTCTAAAAGGACTTTGGACCACACTGTGCTGTGGTACAAAGCAAGAAAAATATCTGATGAAGGCTTTTGTTGCCTAAATGTTATTTTGAAAATAAATACGCTTTTGGACATCGGCCATTTGAGTGTGCTATGCATTTTTTCACTCTTTACTGGAAAATAATGACACCGTTTTCTGAAGCTACTGTCAAAACATTATTTCCTTTTTGTTTGTTTATTCTGTAAACTTGGAACTTTGTGCCAGTTTTTGTTTCATGTGGATAGGCTCAGTTATTACTGATATATTAAACATAAATAATGTAATAATGTCCTTGATTCCAAGGAAAGATGTTTTTCTAAGTTTTTAGACAAAACATGCTTTTATTTTTTGTCTATTTTGGGACTAAAAAGTTATTAACTGTATATATAAACTTCAATATTTTGTGCTGTCTGACCTCGGACTGAGATTCATGAGCAAATTTTAATGTTGTATTCAAATTGCCTTCATCTCATGATTCTCTGAGCGGAGTCTGAACATAATACTACCACTAGCTGCTACTGCTACAACTAATACTACTACTGCTACCACTGCTACTCGTGCCACTGTTACTAGTACTGCTTGTAGTACTGCATCAAAAACTGTAGAAGACTGTAAGCAGTAGTAGTAATGACAGTATATCTGCAGCTGTTGTAATAGTATTTGTACTCACATATTCCTCGTGTGAGCGTCTCCTCTGAGCTTGTTTTGGAAACATCTGGGTTTAGTCCTGATTTAGACCTGATTTAGGCCTAATTTTGAACTGATTTAGAACTGATTTAGACCTGCTTAGTTCACATTCATGAACTGATTTAGCTTTGCCCTGCGCATTTTGCAATAAACTGTAGAAGTATGTCGAAAACTTCCTGGTACATTTGATTATCAAACCACGTTTCTAGAACGCACTGTTCTCTGATATAAACAAAGATTATAATGACTTATAACAAGAGAAGCTATTGTGGTAAGACCAGTTTGTTCAGAATCCAGGCTCTTCCCTTTGTACAAAGAAAAGTGATATAAACAATAATTAACCTAGAATAAACCAGGAATAAATCAAGAATAAACCAGGACTAAACCAGGACTGAACCAGGATTAAACCAGAAATAAATCAAGACTAAAACAGGTCTAAATCAGTACTAAACCAGTACTAAACAAGGACTAAAACAGGGTTAAACGAGGACTCAAACTGGGCCAAATCAGGACTTAAAGTTACACTGCAACTTTTCCAGCAGTGCTTGTCTCCACTGCTTGTGTTAGAGTTGAGTAAGATTTGTAAAATTGCAATTTATATGAAGACAAAAAAGAAAAGCAAATCACAGAGGTGGCTAGCCTGAAATATTCCACAGTATGCCATTAATTTTCTGTGTATCCAAGGATACAAGCAGTTGATGAAGTTACAGGTCAGACCCTGCTCGGAGTAAGAATGTATGGTTTTTCAAATAATTTTGAGATATAGCAGACCAGCACAAAAGTTATACATAGTAGCCTGCATCTTTAACCAGGTTTACAAAGCCAGGCTACACTTGGACTAAACTGGCACTAAACCAGGTCTAAATCAGGATTTAATCAGGTCTAAACCGGGATTTTACCAGGTCTAAATTGATGATTAAACCCGTGGGTTACCTTTCCTCCCTGTGACGTCAGCGCACAGTTGTCAGCAAACACGGCCCTCCCTCGCGCACATCATTTAAATCACAAAAATAATCCACAGTATAATCCCAAACTCCACCAAAAACACCCTTTAGTCCGGATCTAGACCGAGATCTGGTGCCGCGAATGGTCCATGAGCCTGCCTGGGCATGGCAGAGGAGCTGTGCCCGAGATCCGTACCTCTGCAACGGCCACAGCACGCACCGACAGCTGTCTGAAATACAACCAGGAGGAAACCAGGACCAGGACTGAACTAGAACTGAGCCAGGACTACAAAACCTAATACGAACAGGACTGTACCAACACTATGGACTAAAATTAGGTCTGATCCAGGAGGACCAAAATTGAAACTAAATGCGGACTAAAACCGGGCCATCGGCGCGTTCTCGCCGTTCTCAGGTTCGTACCTGTGCGGGGGAGGCCTGGAGGCAGCGGGGAGGATGTGGAGGGGTTGGCCGGGAAGGACCGCTCTGAGCCTGGGGAGAATCCTGGGAAAGTGCCCTTAGATGGTCAGGATCGGAGCCGGAATGCGCTACCGTAATGCCCAGTGTAAAGGAGTGCGTAAAAACCACAGAGTGTGTTAAAACCAGCGCTGTGGCATAACACCACCGGTACCGTAATACAGACTATGGTAATAACCGAAAAATACGCGAAACGAGACTGCACTACCGTAATATACCCAAGAAAAGAGCCCAAAAGAAAAGGAAACTAATTCAATGAAGTCCGCATAGCGACCGGACGGGGCAGCACTGAACCAAAGAAAGAGGCTGATAAGTCTTGATAGATTTTATTTAGGGTATTAGTCGTGGTTTAGTCCTGGTATAGTCCTGATATGAAACTGGTTTGGATCAGATTCAGTCCTGATTCAGACCTGGTTTAGTGTACTAGTTTTGCTAGTTTAGACTGATACAAACTATTTTTCCACATGGTACATTCATTTGACACAGTAGCTCACACATATATACAATATAGCAGAAAAAATTGCTGGTTATATCATTCAAAATAATTAAAGTAGTCAAAACAACAGACTTGTAAAAATAACAAGACTTCTCAAATGTTGTGCCACATATTTAAGTCTGTTCAATATTTTGGCTTATGAGAGGTGGTGAGGTAAAGACAAACCAGGAAAAGATCTGGTACAGTTCTTAGTCCCATTTTATTCTTGATTTAAATCAAATTACATTCTGTTAGTTCTGGAATAGATCTGGCTCTAGCTTGAAGTTTTTTTCATATTATGTTTTGGGTTGATGGGGGAACTTTGAGTGCCTGGAGGAAACCCACCCAGACACAGGGAGAATAGGCAACCACATAAAGACCCATGCAACCCAGAAGTCGAACCCCGAGCCTTGCTGTGAGGAGAGAGTGCTAGCCACTCCACCGCCGTGCCAATTTAGTCCTGGTTTAGTCCTTGGACCGCAGACTGAAGCAGGGAGGTGGACCGTGGCCCATAGCGAGCTGGTAGCTGTGATGGTTCTGCAGTTTTCCTCTCAAAGCTGTCAGTCCCAGCTGGACCTGAAGTGAGTTCCAGTCTAAAAGTAAACATGAAAGTGATACAGTCAGTTCTAAGTAAAAGCCAACACTTTGCCAACAAAGGCAAAACAAAGTTTACAGCTGAAACACAGCATTAACTAGTGAGGCGGTTAGAAAAACAAACATGCTAACTGCAGGCTAAGCAGTGTCTATTTGCCAATATCTGATGGAAAACAGAACTGACACAGCACAAAACCAGCAATCCACCAAAGGATATCAGGGACGGGGCTTGTGTCCAGGGAGGAGGAATTTGCGCTCGGGGGCGGTGCTTGCGCTCAGCTTAAACACACCTGAGGAGGTGACAGGTCCCGAGACCCGTCTCGGACCAGGTTTCAGACCCAGATCCAGTTTCACAGAAACTCGAGATGTTTTTATGAACAACTCATCTACTGAGGTGACAAGACTGAAGGGGCTGCCAAGACTAAACAGGGACTGGAGCTGGGCCAGGATCCCTGTGTGTCAGATGCCCACCCATCCTCCTGTATCCCTGTATGTCAGATGCCCTCCCATCCTCCTTACCGATTTTTACCCCACGTATTTGCACAAATTGTCTTGCCCTAGTACAGATACAAATAAAAATAAATGTTCTGTAAACAGTCTGTATTTAATTATAAAGTGTTATATTGTGGGTCAGGAAGTGCACATTAGCATGCTATTTTTTGTTTAGTTTTTTTTGTTTAGTTTTTTTTTACAGAGAATGAAACAGAATACTGGCTCTTCGTCAGCTGTCTGGTCTCCTTGGTAACCTTTAGTGACACTGAAATAAATAAACAAAAAACAACCAAACAAGTGTAAACAGTGGATTCTATGGAGCTGTTGTTTTGGTGTCACCTGCTTCTCTTGCGACAGGTGTCGTAAGCCCCACCCCCTCACATCCTTCTTCAGATCCCCGTGGAGACCAGCCTTAGTCCTGGTTCAGTCCTGGTTTAGTCCTGGTGCAGCAAAGGTCACGGACAGTGTCTAGTCGTACTACAAGTAATTTTGGGAATCTATCTGTAGAAGGCCAAACCTGAATTTATTTTGTCTCTTGTTGAACCTGGTTTTAGTCTTGATTTTGGATGCTTTTTGCATAGTCTCGGTTTAGTATTGGATCATTCCTGGTTTAGTTCTGGTTTAGTTCTGCTCTAATCCTGGTTCAGTCCTGGTTTAGACCCCATTAAGGGCCATGGCATCGAACACTGCAACTTTAGGAAACCTTCCGAGTGGACTTGGAATCTGCACAACTTTCCCTGACCTGCTGTACTTCCCTGAACTGGTGAGTGCTACTACGACTACTACTACTACTACTGAACAGTTTGTCATAGTGTATTTTATTTAATTTATGTAGTTTTTATAGTAAATATACATCAAACATGTCAATTTAAAGATGTTCAATGTGTAAGTAATGTTGAATATAAAACTTCATGTAACTGTGAATGAATTAAATGAATTACTGTCTTAAAAATGGGTGCTTATTTGACACATTCAGTTTAACTCTACAATGTACAGTATTGATTTAAAACATTTTTAGAGTGGTCTTTCAATATTGGCCAAGATCGAGTCTTTGTGCATGTTGTAGTGGCAGAAATGTGTTTACTCCTGGTATAGTCCACAGTGCTGATGCTGGTTTAGTCCTGGTTTAGGCCTTGTTCAGCCTTGGTGTAATCTTAGTTTATTCTGGGTTTAGACAATCCTATTTGAGTCCTGGCTCAGTCCTGGTTCAGTCTTGGTTTAATCCTTGTTGAGTCCTGGTTGAGTCCTGACTGAGTCCTGGTTTAGTCATGGTTTTCGGTCATAGTTTATTCATTCCCAGTGTTCTGTGCCTGTTCTCCATCTGCTGTTTCAACAATAGAACATAAAGAGGTATGATCTGAGTGAGGTAAACGTGCTATGAGTTAGAATACTTTGTCAGCATTAAGGTATAGTTACAGTATCTGGAATTCTGTATCTAAAACATATTTGACTGATAAAAATAGAGCCACCATTATAACACAACTGCAGTGTCACTGAGATGTGGCTACTAATCTACACCTTCGGCCCCTCCAACCACTCACTGAAACAACACAAACATATGTAGGTTAAGTGGGTGAAATGTGTATAAGGACACGACCTCAGTGTGCACTATTTGGACTTTAATGGACAACTTTGTGATTAGTATTATGTGCCCCTCAATTTGACCATAGATTTGTTTTTATTATTTACAATGTCAAAAAAGAAATGTTTTTCTATTCCCACTGTGCCCTTCTTTGGACCTTTTCTTAAACCTACTTTTAACCAAAGATCACCTTAATGCACAATAATGTACTAAAACCATTGCCATTTTAAAGGTTTACTGTGTAATTGTTTGTTCCATCACAGTACAAACTATATCTCAATGGAAACATCACCAGGACAAGTTATAGATCAGGTATGGGGAGAAGCAAGTCTGCTCACTATAAGACTGCATGTATTTGAAGGTACTTTTGAGCAATAGCTATATTGTGGAAGATTCCCGTAAAAAGCAATAACATGTCCATGGAGGAACATATTCCACCACAAACATACATAGTGCACCTTTCAGATTAAAGTTAACATATCTGTCTATCCATCATCTTGTCACTTACAGATGCTTGTCTCCATGGAGACAAAAACATGTGTTCAAAATATACTTTAGAAAAATGTGCAAAAAATAAACAACCTGAAGATGAAGAAGAAGAACCTGGATGTAATGAAGACTAAAAAACAAAAAACAGGACTAAAACCAGATAAAGTATAAATTTTAGTCCAAGATCTGAACCCGGTTCCTCTGAGGCTCCAGTTACACAGAAGAGACAAACCCACTGTTTACATTGTAAAACTGCAGCTGAGTATGGAATATCACTGTAAAACCGCAACTGTTAGGAAAAAGAAAAGATAGGAATTTTAAGGATCATCAGATGAGTGTGGTGAAGGACATTGGATGTTAAATCCACAAAGAAGCTTCGGAGACAATAACATGATGTTTATCAGTGTTGAGATCTGAGCACTTGGAGACACTGCCCACACCAATCACATTTATGTGATTTTGACTAAGCATGAGCTATATCGGAACAAGTATAAGAATACAGAGACTAGTTTACGCCATGGACCACTGTGGAACCTACGTAAACAGCTGAGGTATTACACAGATACATAGATAAGGCCACATGGTAAAGTATTACAATTTAAAATTACATTCAATTGTCTAAATAAAGAGTGTTTTTTATTATGATTGTGTACATACAGTAAGTGCATTTCCTTTTGGAGTACTTTCACTTGAGAGTCGCAGTACACTGGGGTTCTGTGAGGAAGGATGATTGACAGGTGGACGACAGACATGAAAGCGTTTACACAAGGGTCAGAGGTCACACAGGTAAGGGGTGGGGCTAATGGAGGGGCGGGGCTAAAGGTGACAGGTGACACTCATAAATAAGGCAGGAGCTGTCAGTCATGTGAGGTGTGTGTTACACAGACAGGTTAATACCTCATTATCCCAGGGTTCCAGTTCTACAGCCACAGCCTGCTGCAAATACAGCCAAGACACTTCAATTTACAAACACTTTTAACAAGGCTGTTGTATGCGCTGGTAGTTTTGTTGTGTTCAGTTTATTTGAACTGTTTGTAGAAAGACTGAAACAACTACTTAGAAAATTGACAATAATGTTTTCACAATACTAAAATTTCAAACTTGATTTCAATACTAAAGAATAGGCTCAATACTCAATATAAATTTGATACATTTCTTTAGACAATAGAATGTAATTTTCAACATTAAATAATAGTTTAGATTATATTAACATGTCTTATATCTGTGAAATCCCTCAGTCGTCCAGGTAAGTTCATAGTGGTCCAGTGACATATACTAGTCTACTCTATGCGGTCTTATACTGTATGGCAGTACAGCTCAAGATTATTATTAAGACTATTCAGGAATGGTTCATTTCTGTCATGTGAATGTGACTTTTTTAGTATCAGTACCTGCCCAAATGAGTATTTAGTTTCAATATTATTATAGTATTAGTAAATTTCAATACTTTTGACAATGTTAAATTACTAATCCTGTTCTGTGCAAACTTGAGATTTGGTCATTGCAAATTACGTAATTTCAATACAAATGTTATACATTTTAAAATAGGTTATTTTGAAAACGTATTACATCAGTTAATGGTCTTAGATATTGTGCGTTCTTAGTAATATTGTGCTTTATTTGTGTGTTTTGTTTTGTTTTTTTAGTTCATTTATGTGTAAAAAGGGAGAGAAATTACTTGAAACACTTTTAGTGAATGCATATTTTGCTGAAAGGGACTGGCTTTTGTCAATCATACTAATTAATTATGGACTAATTCTAAGGCCAATGCTGCAGTGTAAAGCCCCTTGTGTCACTAATCCATATTTTTAGTTACTGAGACAAAAAGTCTTATCCCCCTGAATCCTCCCCTCTCGCTCTAAGCCTCCTTTCTCTATTATAATCAGTTCAGTCAAACTTAGGCACTGGTTATCAATATATCCGTATTACCATCAATAATAAGATATGATGATATGCTTGTTCAGTACATTATCTCTACAGAATTGAGCCTCCTGCTGCCAGACCATCACCGGTGTTGCTGAACCTTGAGCTGGCAAGCCTTTACCCACAGCGGGTTTCTGCAGATTCACCGTTGTCTCTTATCATCTGTTTCTGATGATCTGCCGCTCACTTAAGTCCTCTGAAGCCCACAAACCGAGCTCCTTGGCCAGCTGCTTTTCTCAGATAAAGCAGTGGTTAAGTGACAACAGCCTCCAACTTAACACAGAGAAAACAGAGGCCCTCACCGTTGCCACAAATTGTGACATCCTCACCACTAAACAGCATTTAAAACCAAAATAAGTCTTGAATGTTTTTTGATGAGGTCATGGCCCTCAAACAGCTCTCAAATCATCTTATAAAAAATACTTTTCCAGCTGTGCAACATCTTTAAACTCCATACAATAAAAAGAGTTAGAGATTATACTCCATGCTCTTGTTTCCTCACGGTTAGACTACTGCAACATCCCCATACCACACCTATTCTAAAAATGCTTAATTGTCTCCCTGTTTGTATTGTGCTGTATTATATTGTAGACCTTTCAGACCCAACAAGGACAGGCCCCTGTGTGTATATAGTGGACTTGATCAAACCTTATAACTTGGCTTGGAGTCTCTCACCACCTTTTAAGTATCATGTAATCTTTATGTATTTTATGTTGAGTTGGTCACAGGGCTCTAAAATTGTCCTTTCTAATCAATATATAAAAGTGCCCTACAAATACATGAGTGGATCATCATTGTTTCATTCTTGCTCTTGAAAATCTAATATTTTATATACTACTAATATTTGCTTATAGTTAAAATTCATGAATGGACTAACAGCATCCCCTCAAAAATTTGTTGCCCTGCACCCAGATAAAATAATTTTTATAACCTCAGTTAACCTATCTCAAGAGGAGAATGCGCCATATCAAAATGCAGAACCTCATTTGTTAAAACTGCCTTTTTCTTTTGTCTTAATGATTCAATGAAACACAATGCCAACAGAGATTACTGCATGTGGCCAATGTAGAATAACATGGAATGCAACAAACAAAAAATAAAGTAAAAATAACTGTGTGCAAGCTGGCCTGATTTGGTAAATTAACAAATGTGTGATATGAAACAAATTAATGTGAGTTTAAAATGGGACAAAGGCCCACTTTGTCACACACACGCCCACTCAAGTCACGGGACAGGAAGTCCATTTTCCAGATACAGGCAACACAGCGTTATTAAAACATACAAAACTCTCCTTTGAGACAGTAGGGTACAATGACAGTACCTCAGTTCTCAAAAGAGGTCAGTTCCACACGGCTCCCTGTCTCACCAACAGACCATCACCGGTGCTGCTGAACCTTGAGCTGACGAGCCTTTACCCACAGCAGGTTTCTGGAAAACACACCAACCAAAGCTCCAAACTGCTCCAAACTTGCTCCAACTGCACACAGCTACAGTTTGACACCAAGCAGTCCTGGTAGCTCCTGGCAGCTCCTGGCAGCTCCTGGCAGCTCCTGGCAGCTCCTGGCAGCTTCTGGCAGCCCCTGACATTGACCACAAGGAGCTGTCAGCCGTAATGCACCACGATGCCCCAAGCAGCTCCATCCTCCCGTGGTGGACCTCCGCACAAGACACTATCTTGACTTCAGGCATCATCCCTGCAAACTCCACCTGGCTTAGGTGTACTTCCACCTGGAGGTGCGAAAAGTCCTGGATCCTCAGTTGCCTCATGAGGTGTTGTTGACTTCTCCATTGTCCCAAATAGTTCAACTGTGGTTTTCTGCTGATCGGCCTCAGCTGTTCCATCAACACGAACCTTTTTCTGTCTGGATTTCATAGTTCTTCACTGCCTCCTACTGGCCTGGATCTCACCATTCACACTAAATATGGGGAACCTGGCCCTATAAATTAAACAAAATGTGTGAAATGAAACAAATGAATGTGAATTTAAAATGGGGCAAAGGCCCACTTTGTCACAACCTTGATCAAGAATTCTTGACCTTGACAAAGCACAGTGGTGAAGTGAAAACTTTATTGTAAGGGCAGTGCAGCTGTGGCTTCAACAGTAGCTTACCACCACACAGTGTGGGCTGAATAATGCAATGTTAAGTGTCTTTAAAGGCGCTATATAAATCCAGTGATTTTAAACTTTTGCACGCATGACCAAAAACTGGCTTCTGGAAAACAAAGTCTGAACCCACGAGTAATGACGATATAGAGTATGTATGTGTATGTGTGTGCGTGTGTGTGTGTGTGTGTGTATGTGTGTGTATGTGTGTGTATGCCTGAGAAAAGAAGAGTGTATGTACAGGATGTGAAGGATGATGCTGTTGAATAGTTTTCATAGTGCGTGATGTATGTGTGGATTCATTTGTTTGTTGTTGTTAAATGAAATATGGAAGTATGATATTCAGGTCATACTTCAAGAAGAATCTCTCTTCTTGAAATTCTAACATCAACCTGCCCGGGGACCACAGGTGGAAATTTGCATGCTCTGCAACAACGTTTTGCTGTCATTATTTTAGTACTGCTTTTATTTAATAAAATGTAATTTTATTCTTTTACATTCTTGGTTTTATTGGTTACATCATTTTATTTTTATAATATCTTTTAGTATTTTTACTTGACCCCTGCACATGCAAATTTGCTATAACATGCACCCTGTTACACATACATAAAATCACACCATACCATACCAAAGCATCTTTGAGTTTCTTATGAACAGCAGTATAAAACATATGTATTATTATTATTATTATTATTATTATTATTATTATTATTATTAACTCTTTCTCTGCTTTCTGGTCCTCAGCTGTTTGGAGTCCTGGTCTGGATCCTGGTCGCCTGTACATACGTGGTCCCTCACAACCCTCAGGGCTGGGTCATGTTTGTGTCTGTCTTCTGTTTCGTCCTCACATTCATCTGGATGTGTGTGTTTGCCTGTGGAGGTCACCACAACAAGAGCAGCTGGGCCGCAGCAGTGAGTATTCGAATATATTACTACTGCTACGACTACTGCTACTACTACTACTACTACTACTACTACTACTACTACTACTATTACTACTACTACTACTACTGCTGTTACAAATAGTGTTACTACTGCTATTACTACTACTACTGCTGCTGCTGCTGCTACTGCTTCCACTACTACCACTACTGCTACTGCTGCTTCTACTTCTACTGCTACTGCTACTACTACTGCTACTGCCTCTCTATTTCTAATATGGAACTCCAAATTCACTCCTATAACTGCATCCCTCAGTGAGCTTTATTAGACTGGAGCTGAGCACTTTGGGTGACGTCATGCTCCCTCAGTCCTCTCCTTCATACAGTCTATGAAATGGACTTAATTTCAGTGAGTGGTGTGTTCCAGAGTTTACAGCTCTTATATGAAAAGACTAATTAAATGACATTCGCACTGAGGGATTTAACAGTTGTTGTAAGATTTCTTGTTTTAGTCCAGTTTTTTTTTTTCTCATATATTTCCCTGTAGGACTTTGTGTGCTCTGTTTTAGTCAGGCTTTAACAATACTTTTGTGAATACTTTCTGTAGGATTTTGTGTACCACTTCATCGCGACTGTGTTCTACCTGAGCGCGTCCGTGGCTCTGGCCAAGGTCACTCTGGACGCAAGGACTATTTCCAACTTCCAGGTGTACCAGCTGGACATCTCTGCTGTGGTCAGTACTTCACACAGGATCAGGACCTGTTTTAGTCTAGTTTAGTCCTGGTTTAGTCCAGATTTAGCCTGTATTTACTCCTGCCTTGTCCTGGTTTAATCTTGGGTTAATCCTGTTTTTGCCCTGATTTACTCCTGCTTTAGTCCTGATTTGACTCTGCTATATAGTCCAGGTTTAGTCATGGTTTAATCCTAGTTCAATCCTACTAAATTAGTCTTGGCTTTAGTCCTGTTTCAGTGGTGATTGATCATGATTCAAGTCTTGGTTTAGTCCTGATATAGTCTGGTTTTGATCCTGCATTAGTCCTGTTTTAGTCCTGGTTCAGTCCAGCTTTTGTCCTGGTCTAGTACTGGTTCGTACTAGACGTTCGTGATGGTTGACTCCTGGGTTAGTCCTGGTTTGATTCTATTCTTCTGTCCCAGGTCTTCTCCTACGTGACGACATTGCTGTACTTCATCCACACCATCTTGTCAGCCTATCGCTGGAAATCCTTTTGAAAAACCAAAAACACAAAACAGACATTAAATATTTCAACATGAAGGAGGCGGGGGCTAATGGCACCTCTGGACCAATCACACCTCAGACCTCAGGATCAACGCACCAATCCCTGCACAGTCTGACCACCAGCTGACTACACGCCGCCATCTGGTTGGTTATGTCACATCACATGATTTTCTCTGTACATTTTTCAGTTTTGTATTTTATAACTTTTATTTCTGGATTTTTTAAACTCAGTAAAAATGGGTCTGACTTTCTTTGACATTTTGTAAGATTAAAAAGTAATACAAATTGGACATAAATTAGATTTTTAGTACTTTATGGGAAAGATGATTTTGTAATTTTTGGAATGATTGGAGGTTAATAAATTAAACTGTATTGTAATGGATGGTCACTTGTATTTCTTTCTGTACAGTAAATTATAGCACAGGAAAGCGTGTTTAGTGAATATAGCATTTTTAAAACAATAAATTCAATAACTCATGTCATATTCTTGTCCTAAAAAGTGAATACATAGCTTAAAGTGGTTAGTACTCATCTCACCGTGACTGTATCACTGGTTTGATACCCTGACGGTTTGGTCTGTATGATTATATTTTTTTATTTTAAATTGAAATCCCATGGTAATGTGTTTCAGATAAAAAATAAATAAATAAATACCTCCACTGTTTTGGAGGAATATTCGAAAATATAAAAACATATTTTGATGAGTTATTTAACTTTTTTTCTTTGCTACAAAATACCATAAATTTTGCACCATTTATTTCATGTCTTTCGTTTCTATCTAAAATGCAGAAAGTAACAAACATAAAGAAAATGTTTTGACTAGTAGAATAGTCAAGATAAAATCAGTTTTTCACATTTATTTTGCCTTGAGCACAAAAGCACTTGAACAAAACCCAGTTGCATTTACCATATCATTGTCTATGAATTAGGTATGAGTGACCCTGTATATCCGCTGTAGCTCTACCACCGAGTCACATGTCTGAACACCCTCAGAACATTTAAATTTTAGGGTCTAATCTAGGTTTAGCCCACCTGTACCTGTGCTCAGGAAGTGCTGTATCTTCAATTTCTGAGTGTTGGACAGGTGAGTGTGGGTCGCTGTGGAGACCGACTTGGGGGGCGGCGTCATGAATATTTAATGAGCTCAGGTTAAACGCTGACAGCTCAAACACACGACACATTCACAGATAGATTAGACTAGGTTAGAGCTCAAACTTAATCTGACTTCAATTATCCTGAACCTGACACTGATGAATTTAATTGCTTGGCTCACACTAGATACCCTTCCATCCTCCATGCTCTATTGTTTCCTTTCATTATGTCTGAAAGTTTTTCTATCTTTTTATTAAGGCTTTTTTCAACCATGTTAAAAGTGCACTATATAACTTTTCTGTTTGAGGGTCCATCTCCTGCTTGACTCCATAGAAATATTTTTGCTTTGTTGTATGGCATTATTTACCTGTGGGAGGGAAGCTGGTAGTGCCACCAGGCCAAGTTGCAGATCAAATCCAAGGAGAGGCAAGCCCATTCACAGTAAATTTTGGTTTATACTACTTTACTATGAGAACATGTGCATCTATGCAGGCAATCCACATGGAAATGAACAGGATTCCCTGTCCCATGTCCATGCTCCTTCAGAGTATAACTGCTGCCAATGTTTTCTCTTTATTCTGGGCATATTTCCATATTGTCCATACTGATGTATAATCCAACTTTAAGAATGCATGTGTATCAAGTATTTCTGAGGAATAAAACCGTGGAACTGATGAAATGTTGCATATATACACTAAATTTATTCTGCATAAAAAGTGCTTACCCTGTAGTTTAGATCTGTACAAACATGCTCTGAAATGTGATTCTTGTATGTTTGTCAGTTCATATTTCAGTTTGGTTTTGTCAATTTTTCTGGACACATTTAAAATGTGAAGTTTGAACAGAACCCTGTTATTGAAAGATGAATCAGAAAAAATGCTGTTGTTACCCAAAAGCCCTACTGTGAAACAGTCCAACCAGAGTAATCACAGGCAAACTCAGCTCTGCTTTAGTTCTGGTTTACTCCTGGTTCAGTACTGGTTCAGCCCTGGTTTCATTCTGGGTTAGTCCTGGTATAGCCCTTGTTCAGTCCTGCTAGAGTCATAGGTTAATCATGGATTATTCCTGGTTTAGTCCTGTAAATTTTTGTATTATGCTGTGTATGCAGTCTTGTCTACAGACAATACTTCTACAAAGCTTTCCATGCTTTCCATGGATTTATTATAATATGGGTATAGAGTGTGGCTAATGGTGGTCAAAAATCCTCTACAGTCAGTCCTGGTTTTGTTCTGGTTCAGTCCTGGTTCAGTCCTGGTTTAGTCCTGGTCTCCTCTTATCAGTCTGAGGTGAGGAGGAATTGTGAAGTGTCCTGAATTAAACATGAGGCGAGGTGTTGATCGGGACAAAGATCAGCGCCAAGAAACACGAGCCATCCCTAAACACAACACTCACAATACTACAGTATACACGATAAGTACAAAGAGATAGTACTACGGATACACACTCACACTGCGGTAGTACACACAGAACAAATGACTGTTTAATGACAAACAAATGTATCTATCAAATATCTCAATAATATAGTAATAATTTAGAATAACACAGGATTATCAGTATGTATATCTCACTGTCAATCACCTTCTTACCTCAACCTCATACACTGTCACTTAAAACTTTGTTAATATATGTGTCATTGCAAAGAGAAAAAATAAAATAAAATAAAGAGACTGTAAACCATTTGTTCAAATACACAAATCCAAATCTGAGCATCAAGAGATTACTTGGAATACAACAAAGATCAATATTGGGACCAAAATATTTTTATTATATATAAATTACATTGTCAGCATAATCAATCTCCACCTCATTTTATTTGCTGATGATACCAACATTTTTTGTTCTGGAAAGGAAATTAAACAACTCCTTGTCACAGTAGAAACAGTAGACTATAAAAAAATTAAAAGATGGTTTGACATAAATAAACTCTCATTGGAACAGGTCTATGACAATACATTTTTTTTTAACAAAAACTGACCATAAATAGTATTGGCAATCTTATGTTATGTATATAAAATTTAAAATGTATGAGCCAGAGGGGGTTAATGAGGCAAAATATTTTGAAAAGATGATCATATGCGGTACAGTTCAGATAACAAAAAGGGCCAGATGATGGTGATGGTCTCATCCCTTTTAAGTGTAAAACTAAACATTATATGAATTCTGATGAGGATCATATTATGTCATAGTTAAGTAAAAAATAATCATAACTAAAACCAGAGAATAAGTACTTTTCTTTTACAGCCATTGCCTCCTTAATTACGCTAGGCAACACAATTGGTGATGATGCCGTACTCCCAGATGGGGGACGGGAGAGTTTTTCCATCTCTCAAACTGAAAACACTCTGTTCCACCTTGCGATGTCAATAATAATGTTAATACAGCAAGCACTGTACTGTATTTTCAAACTCTACACCTTTCATTAGAATCATAATTAATGAATAATTTCTGCCTGTAAGCCTATAACTTCTTTGATTTTTGATGCATCATAAGATAGAGATGTGGACTTTCTGTGACAATTTCAGCTGAAGAAAGAAGGGGAAAAAAAAGATTTAAAAAGGCACCAACTTATTCCAACGTACTGTAGATTGATTGAGAATAAAAATAGCTGTTAACTACCATTTGATGACATCACAAGGTGGAACAGAGCATTTTGAGCTTTGGAGATGTAGACAGCCTAGTAACACAGGATGAAACAAAACAACTCCAGGTATGTTTATGAGAAGGTAACATTATAACATGACTAAAAGCTCACAGGAGTCAGTTTTGTTTATTTCAACCAATGACAAAATACTTTGCATCTGACTGCGATGAGGAGCCGTCTTTGAAGGAGCAAAGTTAAAACAGTGCACTGGCACCACTGCTCACTGCTGCCCTCTTCTGATGACTAGTCAGCCAAGTCTTCCCTGCTGAAGGCATTAACACAAACATAAAGATTTATGTATAATCCACTTTGTACTTTTCAATATCAATTCTATTCCTCAAAGTTTGAAATTTTAGTATCATGACAACACTAAATAGCATTGACTACTCACCTGTTGGAGACAAATGCCCATGGGAATATGCCCTCTTTCCCATTGAGTCTTCCGTTGCTCCACTCTTCATCGAGGTGATGAGTGACGAAGATGCGGTCTCCAGCCTGAAAGGACAGATCTCCCTCTGTGTTCCCAGAGAAATCATACAGAGCAACTACCCACTCCGATCCAGACCGAGGAGACTATGGAATTAACAAGGGATTTAGGTTTATTACATCAAAAAAGGTGAACATCTTAATATAGAAGTGAAGGTTACCTGAGCTGGTGGGGTCACTTGATTTTGTGTAGTTTTAACCATGCCTAAAACATAAAAGTTGTACAAACAACTAGTACAAATATCATAACAATTTTGCAGCAATGCAAATGTACATCAAACCACATCTTTCATGGACAATGACAGTGCTTACAGGTACATTATGTAACTTTTTGGTTGAGGGCCCATCACCTGCTTTTTTCTATGGCTATGTCATTGCTCTGCCTAGAATGCTCCACAGTAAACAGCTAAACAGATTTACCATACATTTATTCAATTACAGGTGGTATTGTAGATCAAAAATATCTAGAAAAACAGGCATTCTCATTGAGAGCGTGAGCGCCTCTCCACATCTGACCTATAACCTGATCTGGTTTGGTCTCCATGAAGATAGAAAGATTTAATGCCATACTGTGAAACATTCCAGACAAAGCAATAACATCTCCATGGAGACAAGCATTTGACAGATCCTTCACCAGAAAAGTTGCAGAGTACACTTTTAAAGGTCAATCACTTGTAGAAAATTGGATGTGAAAACTGCTCCAGTCTATTCCCTAGTGTCTCTTCAGATGTTTACATTTGGACTGTAACTGCAGAAAAAATAAACTGGTAAAATAATGTACTACATGTGGTAAATACCAAATCATAGCCTAAACAAGTTCAGATTTCAAACACATTAGTGAAGTGTATATCTTATGTCTAAATATTTTCACAACTAAGGAGTTGCCCTGTGTGTCAGGGGCCATCTGATAAACAGCTGTTAATGAAATCACAACAAAGGCAGATTCCTGTCGTGCCGCACGGTTGTAATGGACAACAGAGTCACATACAATGAAACTGTCATCAGCACTGGATCATTATTACTGGCTACCATAAAGTCAAAATTGTGTTTCAAGAAGAGAACTCAATTAGAATGGCAAACAAATATTTTAAATATTCCTTGACAATAGATAACTGCACCTTTATTGGTTTACACTGTATTTTTACAATATATAAAACTGAAAAAAATAAATAAAATTAAGAAAGGTATTGTCATATGAGCCATGGTAACCAATAACATTTTGAAACAAAATATATCACAAAAAATTCCGCACTACTCCAAAAATAAAATAAACAAAAATATACAAATGATAAACATTGAGCCCCAAAATATATAATACATTCACGTACCAGGCAGTGCGATCTTGTTGGGCTTTGTGGGCTGTGGGCTGGGTGCTGGTGGCAGGTCTTGGATGATCTCCACAAAGTTGAGGGGGAAGATGCCGCTGAAGTCCCCTAACTGCCCCCGGGCCCAGTCCTGTCCCACGTAGGACTTGAGCTGGATCACGTCCCCCTCAGAGAAGCTCAGCTCGTCACTGTGCTCGCCCTCAAAGTCAAACCTGGCCACGCACCTTGGACCACTGCAACAACCACCGACAGGTAAAGAAACAGGTAATGCTTTCTTATAAAAACATATCTGGAGTTGTGTTTTGTTTAATTCACATATGTTTAACACACAAAGCAAGATTGTATTGTATTGTATACTTTTGAACTCCATTCACTTTCACTAGAATCATTTGGATAATTTTAGCTCTGGAACTGCCAGTCTCTACTGAACTAAAGTTAAATGGTAGCTGTAAACTTTATACCATGGCTTTAAGCTCACATAAATACATGCGGAAAAAAGCAGTACCTAACATTTGAAGAAGGCTTCCTGCCATTTCTTTCGGGGAGTCGTGGTGAGTTTTCCTATATAGAGGACACAATTACTTTATTAGTTTATTTTAATGAAAACATTTTTTATACTCTACTTTGATTGTTGAGAGAACCATACCAGGATTTTGGCATAGTTGATGGGGAAGAATCCTGTGGAGCCTCTGCAGGTCCCTTTGTACCATTCACTGTCCACCTGCTCCACCATAGTCACCACATCTCCTGCTCTTAAATCCAGCTCATCGGGATTCTCTGTAGACAGAATACAAAATGTTCATTCAAAGAGCAAACAATTTCTATGTAATATTCATTTCATTTACACTTAGATAATCAATTTACTAATAAAAAAGTCAGTCTCAAATAACACTGTAGTTGCATGCTTTTTTGTTTAAAATTAAACAACTTTCCATGAAACAGGACCATGAAAGATTAAATGAGCATGTTTTCTTAATCCATTTTGCAATCATGGTGACTACTGAACTTTCCTCCATAGATATCTAGAATTAAGTCTTTGTCCATGCTTTATTAACGCTAAATTAAGGTATAGTTTTTATCAAGTAGCATCTCATTTTCGATACCTGGATTGAAATCAAATAGAGCCTCCACTGTTAATCCATTGCCTGATGCTGTTTGCATACCACCCTGATGAAAACGCAAAAAATAAGTTACCATTTTGTAAGTTAGCAGCTCACTACCACATGGTAGAGCAGAGTAGTACCCATACTGATAATAGAATATACCTGTGTTTCTGAGAGATCTGAGGCTGACACTGGAGTGATGACCTTCATACAAGACCTATGCACCCTTCCTCTCCGGTCTCCCACTTGACACTCATACGTACTGGAGTCTATTGGATTTAGCAGCACGAGGACTTCATTTTTCTATAGCAAATATATGGAAAACAGTTAATGAAATGTTACAAAACAATTAAATGTATTTTGTATTGTATTACTTGTGTTTCAGTCTGATACCAAAATAACTGTTATGTTTTTGATTTTAGTAGAAATTTAAAACAATCCCTCAAATAAGTATTCCAGTGAAAAAGTAGGATACATTTAAAAAATTTGTTTTACCGCTGTGCTCAAATAAAGTACTTGTACTATTTTGTAAAAGTGATATTGGTGCATCCCTAGTATCTATGCTAGTTCATTGTAATATTATATACAACTGTAATAATTGTTGTTGAAAATGCAGCATGAAATAAAAATATATTAATAGATTATGCGTAAAGGTCAAGGGCTGGGACAACAAAATACTGGCACAATTGCTGTTCTCTTCCCAGGTACGATACATAAATATGTGTGTTCCAATTGTAGCTAATAGTTAATGCTAATTTATTATGGTTGGTGTTATGCACTTAGTTCAATGTAAACTAAAGGATACTATTTTTAAAAAATCACCTGAAATGAGAGCTCGCCAGTTCTGCGGCCATCGTAGTCAGTGGATGCAACTCCGTGTGGTACATGAAGCTGAAATGAAAAATCTAAAATCAAAATCTGTGAACAAAATAAACTCTATTATCACTATTAGAACATGTTTTACAGTGTATTTGTTGTAGAGGCAGTGCCCTGGATTAGGCCTAGGGGGCAGTAGTGGGTCTCTCTTTTGGGGCTTCTGTGGTTTAGGTGGAGCGTCCCAGGGAGAGGAGAGGGAGCGACCTGCAGCTTCCATACGTGGAGCAGGAGGTCTGCCTGAACCGGACCTCACCATGGGGGGCCGAGGGGGCAGGGTTTTACTGGTGGTGAGCCTCCTGGGGGAAATATGTTTAATGTTCAATATATGGTTGTTGGAAAAAAAAAAATTCTATATAAAACTGCTAAAAATGCGATTCAAGCCCATCGACAACCATCTTAACCAGTTTTAGGCAATTCTTTCCCCATTTCTATGTTATTATTATTATTATCTTTTTTTTTTTTTTTTAGTATATATATTTTTTTTTATCAGACAAAGAGGGTTTCCACAAACATGCATGTTCCATGGCTGTGAATTATAAAATGACAATGGTGAAAATGATTTTAAAATATTTTTAGGCATAGAATACTACTGACTTCCATGTCTAATTACATTTTTGTGAAATAATCTATATATTTGAAGAGGTTTAAAAACTTAATCTGGAGCTTGTGTAATATAAAGATCAGTAGACAATGTACACCAAATGACAAATTAAGGCAATAGATTACACAATATTATAATTATTTACAATTATTAACATCATTACCAAACAACAGTGAAATCCATTCAGTTTTCATATGGTATAAAAGAGTACCATTCCTCTAGTATGACACACATTAAGAAATTTCACTTTCTAAAAATGCCAATTAATAAGATTTAAAAAAACAAAAAACACTTTTCCATTTAGGGTGACATTTCTGAGTATAGAACTTAATTTAATTTACTGACATCTGATCTTAAAATTTATTCTTGAAATGTATATGTTTTTAGTTCTTATGAGTGTATTATGACCTGAATCTCCACCAGTACTTACCGTGGTGGTAGTGTTGGCTCTGGTGCAGGACTTTGGGACACCTAAAAGTGGACAAAGCACCTTTACAAACAAATATCCACAGCAAAACTCTACTCCACACCACACTGACACTAATACAACCCATAGCTTTCAATAGCAACTCAGGCTACAAGAGCTTCTTTGTTCAGCAGAATGGGAGAACAAGGTAAGCCATGCAAAACTCTGGAACTCTGTAAACTGATATTAGTTTGATGCCTAGGTATGCCCAAATACAGTTCACAGTATTGTGTCTGCAAGTAATAATTATTTTCCTAATAGATTAATATAGCAATGTCTCTTTTGATTATTAGTTAGTAGGCCTTTGAATATGAGCGTTTTACCAAATTTGGTTCAATTAAATTTATATGATGCTTGAGGACATCTTCGAGTATACACTACCAGTCAAAAGTTACTCACCCTCTCATTCAGTGCTTTTTTTCTGCATGTTTACCACTTTCTACATTGTTTATACATACAGACATCCAATATATGCTGCAACATATATATAGAATTATGACACAAAGAAAAAAAAAGTACCTCAACTAAGTATTTTTAGATTTTATATTCAAATGCTGAAAGTGGCCACCCTTTTGCTTAGTTGGTAGTGCTTGGTAGTGTTCCCTAAAATAGTTCTCGCTTCACAACCGAAGTAGGACCAAGTCATCGTTTTGCAAGTCTCAAGTAAGTCTCAAGTCTTTGAGCTCAAGTCCGAGTCAAGTCCCAAGTCAAATACAGGCAAGTCCAAGTCGAGTCTTGAGTCATTGGCCCATAAGTCCAAGTCAAGTCCAAGTCGTCTGCTTTGAGCTTCAAGTCATTTCAAGTCTTTAAACCAAAATACCAAATATAGCTTAGATTTCTGCAATTTATATGAATTTTAAAATAAATTTAACTTTAAAAATCATAGTATATTTAAATATGAGTATTTATAGAGTATATAAAAGTTGTAGATATAAATTTAGTTAATTTTTCCTTTCTAAATGTCTTGACAATATCTTAGTGTGAGTCATTACAGTTAGAATAGAAAGAATTCAGATTTAAAAGTGCTTCTCAAGTCTTCTCAAGTCACAGGCTTCAAGTCCAAGTCAAAAAGTCCTAAGTCTTAGTCCATTTTATCAAGTCGAGTCTCAAGTCCTAAAAAAAGTGACTCAAATCTGACTCGAGTCCAAGTCACGACTTGCAAGTCCCCACCTCTGCTTCACAGGGTCAAGAAATGCCAAGAGTAAAAGCAGGAGCAAAGCACTGATCAAAGCTGACTCTTTTTAGAAATCGAAAAGTTTTGTTTTATTGTGGCTAGATTATTTTTTGCTTACTACATTCCATATGTGTCCATTCATGGTTTTGATGCCTTTAGTGAGAATCTATCATTTAAATAATCATGGAGCTAAAGAAGAAACATACATGAAAAAAGGTGTCAAAACGTCGGACTGGTATTTCAGTGTGCTTATAGTCAAAATAGGTTTTTAATCAAAACCACAAAATTGTACACATTTGCAATTCTAATAATGACTGCTCTGTCTAAATGATCACATCTCATCTCTCAGTACATGTTTTGAATCTGTGCGTAGTCCAGATTATGATCATTCATTTACTAAAGTAGTTGATGATTACTTCAAAAGTCAACAAATTGTGATAAATTAATTATCTTACTTCAGCCAAACAGTATTGCATATAGATTACCTGAGATGGAAAAGAGGTGATTGAATGTCTGTTGACTGGTGGTGCTTTGAGAGCTCCCACGGGCTTCTGGACTGGGAGGGCAGGGGGGCTGTCCTGAAAACCATCTGAAACTAACAACACAGGTACTGAATTACCCCCTTGTCTTTACAGTTAACTTATAATAATAAAAGATTTAACTGAACAGCTTATTTTGAGCAATAAATTAGTGTAATTAAAAAGTAATGTAATAAAAAGCAACTTAATTTCGATACTAGGGAATGGACTTGGAATAGATACTCAAAACTGATTCAATACAACAATGATAATAAAAAACACTCTTTATTTAGACAGTAGAGTGTCATTCTCAGTATTAAACTGTAGCTTCCTTGAAATATAATACCCCCCTCTGAGAATAAGTGAAGAAAGAATAAATGAATGAATGCACATTATTTATTATGTAACTTATGCCAACAGTTTATGTATCGTCATTATAAGCTGTGAAAATAGTAGAACTTGTATTGGTGTTTTCAGATTCGAGAATACAATGATTTCCTTATTGGTCACATTTTACTTTGCCATGAAATATCCAAAAGGAAAACTCACAAATGTGGAACCTGATCTATTCTATCATTGACGAGACCCAAGAACTCACTGTATTTTAATGTCCTCTAAAACCCAGCCAAACAATGAACAAAAGTACGGCACTGAGTTGGAAAAACAAAAAATTTAAAAATCGTTAACTCACATGACCCACTTTTCCTGGGAACGATGATAGTGGTCGGTCTCCGGGTCATACTTTGTCTAGAGCCTGCATAGTTATCCATCTGTGGCTTTGGCTTGACAGCAGTATCATCTGAAATTTAAACAAAGTTATACATTTAAATGATTAAGAAGCAAGGTCAGCCATACACAGAGGTTCACATGTTTTTTCTTCAGTCCCAAGCCTAGATAAACAGGAATGTGTTAGTAAGTCTCTGACATCAAAACAAAATCACCAAAAATAAGTACCACAGACAGTATCACCAGGAAACCATATTAGATACAGAAAATGCAAACGTATCACTGAGAATTGTTCCACCAATGTAAGTAAAATATGCAGGGCTTAAAAAATGGCCTTCTTCTTTACACTAATGGGCCCGTTTCTGTTGTATGCATTAGTCTGTATGTGGACACACTTATGTCTGAAAGTGCATACGATGTAAACTTGCACTAAACCCAAGTTAATATTTGTGTATTTTTACAGTGGTAAGATGTATGGGCTGCAACTTGTTTATACTGGCCAAATAACATGGGGACAATATATTAATAACCAAGCTCCTGCATATTATACCTTTAAGATGAACTTCTGTTGATTGATAGATAGACTGAAATGTTAATGCTTTGTCTGGAATATTCCACATTATAGCTTTAAACTGATCGGTGTTGTATTTATTCAGTTACATTTGTTTTATTGCCAAAATATTCCTGTCACCTCTTCACAGCTCTGACCTGGAAATGAACTCAGCAACTTCATCTGTTTTTTTGGGTAGAAATATATATTTTAAATGCCATATTATAAAATATTCAAGGCAAAGCAAGAACATCTCCATGGAGACCCTCCAATAAAAAAGTTACATGGCGCATCTTTAAAATGTTGTTTCCTCATCCCAAACATACCTGGAGTTGTGTTTTATTTCATTCACACATGTTTTACACCCAAAACCTGCCTATTTAAGCTCTTCTCTCAAATAGAAAACACTCTGTGCCACCTTATGACGTCATGTGGTAATACAGGAAGTGCGCCACTGTGTTATTAAACTCCATTCATCTGCACTAGAGTCATTTGGAAGATTTCAACCCTGGAATCACCAATCTCTACTGACTAAAGGCAAAAGGAGCTGTTAACTTGAATATTACCACTTCATGACATCGCTAGGTGGAACAGAGCATTTGAGCTTTGGAGATGGGAACAAACTAATCATAAATAGTTACTCAAACATGTGTGAATGAAACAAAACACAACTCCAGGTATGTTTTTGAGGAGGTAACAGCATTATAACATGGCTTAAAGCTCAGAAGAATCCTTTTTGTGTAATATAGGACATTTAAATATGAATAATTTTGTCCATCCATCCTCCGTATACTTACCATGATATGACAGTTTATATGTCAATAACACTCACTTGAAGCTTTGGCCTCATGTGTTTTTGGTACACAATCAATGTCAGGATTTTCTGCAGCTTTAATATTTAAATATCAAAAATAATAATCTTGACCATGGTAGATATTAATACTCACTATTTCGCGAATATTCCACATATTCATAGTGGCTGTTTGTAGTTTCAGGAGTTTCTGTGATCATGGATTCATATAATCAAATTTACAAAATATATAGACTAGACCACTGGTTTAAATTTGGGTTTTGAGAATATAAAAAAAAAAAAAAAAACTATTGCTAACTTACGTGATGTATCGTCCTCAAATGTGTATGTGTCTTCAAACTCATATGCACTTTCTGAAGCTACTAAAAAGGGTCACATGTTGGAAATGTTTCATATTATAATGTGTTTATTTCTATGCAATAACTGTAATAACATTATTAGTGTTTGAGATTACTCACTTGATTGTCTGTCCATATACTCGTACTCACTGAATGGTTCGTCACTACTCACTGTGGTCGCTAGAAAATGTAAATGTTAAGTATAGTGAACTATTGATTATTATTGGTTTAAATTAAGTTATTTTATTAATTTTTTTTTTTTTTTAGATATGTGCTGTCACCTAATTTGAACTGGGGCTACACAATATAAGAAATACAATGACAGTATTCTAAACATTAATATTACAAAACTGTGTGCAGTATAAGTTCTCATGGTGCACTTTGAGCTTCTTATACATGTTTTTCCAATGTGTTTTTTTAACTACAAATGGCAAATAAACTAACCTAACCGTGTACCACTCCTGAATGAATGAGGGTTTATTAAATTGATCAATTCAAAATACAATATATACAATACAATACAATACAACAATATAAATTACTTACTAAAATTCAATTTAAAACATGTTCATCTAATTCTCAGAAATATCAGTTACCAGTTATATTTCTTTCCTATGATAGATTTTCATTATAGTATAAATTGTGCAGCCTTAAATTGAACTAAAGTCTCCATCATATTATCTCTCTCATCATCATCATAACATATCAAAACACCACTGAAAATGTGTGAGGACTAAAATACTAATTTTAATTTGGTGGAAATATTCTTGAATTCAACACAATAAAATTACTTTTGTCACAATACAAAAATTTCAAACTTGATTTCAATACAAAGGAACAGACTTGACTTGATTTTATCTTCATGGTATTGGAATCAGTATTTGTTATATGTTAAATCATGATATTTTCTTTAATTTGGTATGATCCATAGTGGTCCATGGGTGTATAATAGTCCATGTGATCTGATACTTGTTCTGATACAGCTCAAGATCATTCTAAATCTATTCAGGAAAGGTTCATTTCTGTCCTGTGAAAGTGACTTTTTTTAGTATCGATAGCTCAAATAAGTATCTACTTTCAAACCAATATTAGCAGTGATTCGTATCTGATTTTTTCTATACTTTTGATAATTGTAGTAGAAATGTATAAAAATAGACAGTCTCTCACCTGCTACATTATCCGTGCTGTCGTACAGTGGCTGTGCTGTGTAGTTGTTGTGGTTGTTTATATTCAGATTGGGTCTGAGTGGCTCTTTAGTTGGCTTAACCGGTGGTGTAGAGGGCCCTTTGGCAAAATCATCATCGTAAATACAATCCTCCCTCGTCAACTTCGGTGGCTTAGACCTATGCTGTGCCAATACTGCATCCAACTCCTCCTTTACAGAATTTGTTTTGCCCAGTGGTTTCTTGGCGGATTTGGGAGCCGGAGTTGGGGGTGAAGATGAGACATTCTCGTAGATGTCGTCAGCGCTAAATTGTGGTTTTACAGAAGGTTTAGCTGCTACCGGGGGTCTTGTTTTCCTCGCCACTGGTTGCGGCTTTATAGGCAGGGAAGCCTCTTCGGCTTGGTTTTCAAATGCCTGTATTCTAGCACGAAGACTATTTGCAGCGCTCATCTCGTCCACATATTCTGTTTCGGCACTAGATTGGTTAAAATTAGCAAGGTTTTCTTCTTTAAAGACTTCCAGTAATTCTTCTAGGTACTTATTGGAAGAGGCTCTGTCCGCTATGCAGTTTGAAGGGTCAGAATTTTCACTTAACTCGACCAAAGTTTGGGGTTCCGCTGGTAGAATAAGCAGCCTTTTGGATTTGATGCGAGGAAGTGGGACAGGATACTGGATAGAACTGGAAGTAGTAGTAGCAGTAGTAGTAGTAGTAGCAGTAAATGCAGTTGTAGTATCAGAACTAGTCTCTGTGCTGCTTGTGTTATTCCAATGAACAGTGACAGATCTGGTGTAGTTTGTCTGTCCAGTTGCGTTACAGCCTGAATCTGGGTTGCTATGGGAACTTGAAAATGTTAAATTCACATTAGTGGGTCCATCTGTGGCAGTGGATGATGTTTTGTTCTTTGGAGCAGATGGTCGTGGTGGTTTGAGGGGTTTTTTACCTGTAGGAAAAACATATATATAAGGAGTATATTCTCTAGGGTAGCAAGATTAATTGCAATCAAATCAAAATAGACATTTCAGTGGATTAGCAATTTTTATTATTTAAAAAATTCATTTCATTTTCTTAATATTCTGAATAAAAACTACTAACCCTGTAGTTCTGGTCTATACAAACTTGTTTTCTTGTATTAGTTTGCCAGTTCATAGGTCAATGTAAGTCTTTTTGTCAATTCTCCTTGATGCATTTACAATGTGAATTTCACAAAATTGCAATTAGATATTTCCCCCCCAAGTCGTTCAGCCTTAATCCTCTCATATTTATGTTGCTTTTGATTCAAAACGAATGTTCCATCAATTAATTTGTTTTGTTATTTGTATGTCGATGAAATTACATATAGATAATGAAATTAGCTCACCAGCAGTTTCGGTAGCAGCGGTAGCAGCAGCAGTAGTAGTAGTTTTGCAGGTCAGGTGACGAGGGGGTGCTACAGGTTTAACAGGGACTTCCTGGGTCTTTTGCCTTGGGACCTGATCAAATTGAAATCAGAAAGAAAAAAAAAGAATTGAGCTTAAAGGTCGCATATTGTGGAATTTTGTAACTCTAAGCTTTAATCCATTTTAGAATGTTGTTACCTCCTCAAAAACACACCTGAGTTGTGTTTTGTTTCATTCACATGTTTGAGTAATCCTGGATTATTATCTGTCCACTTTATGTCATGAGGCGGGAGTGAACAGCTACCTTTTACCTTTAGTTTACTAGACAATTCTAAGACTAAAATAAATGTTAAATGATTCTAGTGAAGGTGTATAGATTTAAAAAATACAGTGAAGCACTTCCTGTATTACCACATGACATCACAAAGTGAAATAGAGTATTTCCTGTTTGAGAGAAGAACTCAGTCTAAATATGCAGGATTTTTCTGATAAACATTGAAACAAAACATAACTACGGGTATGTTTTTGATGAAGAAAGAACATTATAACATAGATCAAAAATAAAGTAATACAGGCCCTTTATTAATGAAACATATTTTCCATAATTAACATAACAACCCACCTGAGGAGGAGGGGTGTGAGGGGCAGAGAAGACCAGAGGATTTCCTGGACTCACCCCACTGCAGTCCAGAGGTTCTGCTGAGAGGATGGTGATCTCTGGACGCCTACAGACACAAGACATGGATATTTTGCACCAGTGAACATCTGAATAAATGGGCTCTGTTCATGTTCTACAAATGACAAAAAAATTACAAAAATATCAAACATTCCCTTCTATATTTAGAATACAAAATATAAGACTATAATTTAATTCAGGTACAAATAACCCTAAAAGACTTGTGAACTGATAACTCAGATAACAGAACTGATAATGTCAACCCAATCTTTTGATTCCTCTGTAAGTGTTTTTGAGAAAGTTAGTGTTTGCTCTGGGAATTAAAAAAACGCCCTTCAGAGGTATGTGTAGAGGCCCGTATACCCATGGGAGGAAATTGTTTTTAAACTAAGTGTAATAGGAAATTAATTATAGTTTAACTTTATTTAGTCTCTGCCCCAGTGTCAGTTGATATCGGCTATCAGCAGATACTTAAAGCCAAAGTATCGATATCAGAACTGAAAAAGCTACACTAGTGCATCCCGATTTGAGTGCATAGTGTTTAATCTGGTTCTATAAGAACAGTATAATGCCTCATGGGCAGCTTTGTTCTGCATCATCATTTAGCTAGAATGTTAAAATCTTATCTTAATTTGTTTGAGATTGACTCCACAGACATGCCATATTCATTTCACGGCATGAAGTCCTTTTAACGGACAATTTGAGGTTGAATAACATCATCATTTTCTGATGCCATTTTGAAAAAGTATTTCCTTTTTCCTTCTACAATAGAATTCTGTCCTCCAGCTCATTTTTAAACTATAGGAATTCTAAAAATACAATACAACAATAGAATGATCTATGACCAGTGCATTTTGAACTGTTGTTCTGACAAAAACAAAAATCAAATATCATATTTAATATATGTTCATGAGAGTGCTCTATGCCAGACCACCATCTCTATTCTCAATACAGGAACATTTCACTTGTGAAAGTACATCTGTGTATTGCTGATTACAAACTAGCTAAATGTTGACCAAAACAACAGAGCAATTACCTTCTATGATTACCTCTGCGGTGCTCGCTCTGAGAGCTCGGTTTGGCTAGGAAGACAAAGAACATTTAAATAAAAAAATATGGTAATGTAAACTATTACCAACTTGTCTAGGCACACTTACTGCGTTTTATCACAGCTTTTATAGATGACAGTGGCCCCTGTCTGTTCAGAAAAGAGAATTACAAATTTGAATGACCCAATTTCACTTATGTTGTGAAATGTTGAGTCAACATGATAAAAATCTAAATTTTAGTCTGTCTAAAAGAAAATCATGATATTCATTTTTGTCCAAATCAAATTGTAAAATAATTATAGTTACACAATAAATACATCATGTCTTAATATATTGTGCTAATTGTGGATTATTAATGTATCATTTTCCCCAGAGAATGTTATGGAAGCTCAGTGTTTACATCCATTTCACCACAGCGACGTTCACTCTCCTGAGAGTAGAGGCTCTTATACAGTGTTAATGAGAGACAAACAGGAGGCTGATGTTAACCCTACAGTCACTTAACCACTATAAATTTGTTTTGGTTTAGTAGCTAGTACAAACATTTCAAACTCAATTTCAATACTAAGGAACAGACTAGATAGATAGACTAGAATACCAATGCCGATACCACAATGATAATACAAAATGTCCTTGAATGTCCTGTCTTTTTCAACTGTATGCACACAATCGATAAGTATTGTTACCTGGCTTGTGTGTGATCTGTCCTCAGCCGATTAGAGGGACCTAAAAAAAGGAGCAATTATCATGAAAGACAAACAAATTAGTGACAGTGAAAAGGGGGAAGGGGGAAGTGGAATACATTTTGCAAATATAAGTGTATTAGGTGATGTATTAGCAAAATTGTCAAAAAGGGATATGTATTATGGGTAAAACATGTACAAAAATATTTAATCCTACTAAATAATCTTATTTCACTGAGAACACTGATGATCTGTAAAAATGTTTTAAAAACCAAAAGGAAAACCAAGTATGAACAAGACAAACTATGTGTAATGAAAATATAATCAGACTGATATAATGAACATTATATATGGGCAAAATGTGAAACATTATATTTAATAGGTTTTGAACAAATTAAAATAAAACTTTATTATTGGATACACTATTTTATACACTGCTTAAAAATATGCTTTATATCATGCTTTCAAATAAGGATATAATGTGATATTTCTTCACTTGAAACATGGGAAAATACTGCAATTTTTAAAAATTTGTTTTAAAAAATACATTCTATTGTATGAAAAAATATTGTGATGTTGAAATTGATATTGCAAGCCTTTTCCTTATCCCTATTCTTCATTCATTCACAATTTAGTTTGATTTGATTTGATTTATTTATTGTATTGTGACAATACCTTTAAATAACTATATACGATACTCCAATTATTAGAAGTCACTGGTTCAGTTACAATAATCATTGTGAACAAGTTATACCAGAACCCAACCCTACAGGACTAACCTAGAGGAACAAGCTGCTCTTCAATAGTGATCTAGTCATCTCTTGCAAGAACGACTAATGACCTAAATATCTGAGGTGGAAATCAAACCTCATATGCAATGGGTAAAATCGAGTAAGGGATATTTTCTATTGATTTATTTTTTTTGTCCTCTTGTCAGTTCAATTTCCAATTCAATAAAAAAAAAAACATTCATACATACTTAAATAATTGTATAAATTTACTTATCATTCATACAGTGGTTCTACTAAACACTTTAAAGCGCTACTATGTCTGCCAAAACAAACCTGAGTTGACATAAGGGTAGGGCCTCTTTTTACACATGTTGTGCATATCATTGTAGTCTACATACATAACTGTAAAATACTGGACTCTACTTTTTGAGAAATCTACTCATTTTCTGCACGTGGAATCCGTCTCATCTTATTTTTAGGTTTAAGAAAGATGATTTCAGTGCCTAATAGGAGCCTTTCTGGTATTATTATCATAGCCTCTAGCCAAATAGACTGAAACTGAGACTTCAGTGTTGCACCTGTTTCACCTTTTAGTTGTTAGCTGTTAGCTTTGAGTTACTATTCAACGACAGTAACTCAGCCCGCTCTCACACTTTTAACACCTGCTCTTTATAAACACTAACTTTATCAAGCCAAGCCATGTTTAAATATGTCATTTTCCTACCTCAAAGCCCAGATATGAGGGAGTTTTAACAGCCAGTTATGTTACAGTTCCAATGTTGCTCTTTCTGCGTCATGGTGCAGACTGAACCAGTGACTGAAAAGTGGCACACAGCTGAGGACAGTGGGTGGGGCTTGGGTATCTGCTCACCTGTGTTTACCTGAGTGGCCAGTCTGTTCACCTGGAATGTGATCATGCAGGATACAGACGGAAACTTCACTACTGCTGAAGGGCAATGGTGTTTCTCAGTTAATCCAAGGTGGGTAGCTACATTTACTTCAGTAACTTTTTAAAGAAATTGAACTTTTCAGAGTGCTTTTCTAGCAGCATACTTTGACTCCTACTCTTGAGTAATATTTTTATTTGCGTAAGAGTGGTGTTGAGTGCTGTTATTCATACATACTTAATTCCACTGTGTTTGTTTAAGTCTTCAGGTGACAATTTATGTTGTACAATACAAAATGATTTGAACATTAGTGTTTCTTTCACTGCTCCTTTAAATATGATTTAGTTCTTCTCATTTTATATCCTCAGATTTTGTGCTTTATTTAATGTTTGTCCTTCTAATTACATTCACTTAAAACAATAAATCAGATGTCCTGACAGCTACAATTACTTATCTTGAGTGGTAGTTTTCCCAAATACTTTTTTACTCTTATATGAGTAAAGTCTTGGCCCACTTTCTACTTCTACTTCTACTAGAAATATTACTTTACTACTCTACACTGTTCTACTCACGTCTGCAAATAACAGATGTGAGAGACATCTCCTGACCAGCTGTTTTGGAATACTGCCTCTGGTTTATTTATACAACTTTTAAATGAATAATTCCCCATTCATTATTATTTACTAGATTCCCTGTATTTAAATTATACTTGATGTCTAGCCTTCAATCTGGTTTAATAATTTTGTAATCAATAATACAACTAGACACTCATTTGTGCAGGTAAAGATAAGATGCTCTTGAGCTGTATCAGAACAAGTATAAAAGTCATGTTAATATAAAAGAAATGTTGAAAATCACATTTATTTTTGAAAGGATCCATGATTTTAGTCTTCACTGTGGTATCAGTATTGAGTTTCGAGTCAAATTTGAGTTTTGAGCATTGTGACAACACTCTTATCAGGGTATTGATGCTACATGCCTGACCAGCTCCCTTTTGGTTTGGGCAGTGCCAGTGAAAAGCACAAGCACATGTGCTGAGGTCAGCTGTTTGGCCCCGTCTGACACATGTGGGCTTTACTCAGCAGCAGCACAACAGGTGGACAACAGCCACCACCGAATCAGTGCACACAGAGGCTTTCAGTCTCAACTTAGCTAATACCTATTTGACTTGTTTTGACTTTGATTGTGTACTTCACGCAAAACAAGGGAATGTTTTCAGTCTCATAAACTACAGGAATACAGAATTGCTTGGCCTAAATCAAACAGGAATGAAACAAAAAACAACTCTAATAGAGCAATGTTCTACCATGAGGGAAAGCACAGATATGCTGGATTTCCTAGTTGTAGCTAATTAAAGGAGCACCATGTATGCTAACTTTTCTGGAGGAGGGTCCACCACTTGCTTATCCCCACTGAGATGTTGGATTGTTCCACAAAATAGCATTAAACATATATTTCTGTTGAGTGCCACCAGACATTAGGCATCTAAATAAAGTACATCCTCTATATATACTGTACAACTATACTCTACTGCAGACAAGAGCACATTCATCACACACAGACAGGAAGGTGGTGTGGGTGATAGGCCTTTCACAATAATGACTATATTGATTTATCTTTCAATATATGAAAGCTGAAACAATGTATTCTTTGCAATAGTGGTGACATTTTTGCTATTATTATTATTTTGATATTAACTTTTAATGATACAGTATATTAAATTTGTTTACTGGGATTATCCTGTTTTGTGTCAGTGGTATAAAGTAGTTAAATATTATTGTTTATTGCAATATTTCTCTTCAGCAATATATCGTGCTTCAAAGTTTGTTATCATGACAGGCCTGGTGGGTGAGGAGAGGGTGTGTGCCCGGATGAGTGGAAAAGTCCTCTCAGAAGGTTACAATGAAAAACAAATAGAGTTCAAACTGTTAGGAAGGGGACAGATTTTGTGTATGACGCTGAACAAACATGATATAATATATTATTATAACATATAAGTGTTTAAGTCAGATCAATTTTGGAGTCAGGATTGCAGGTCTTTGTTGGAAAGTTAAACTATAGATAGAGGATGGGTTTCCTCCGGGCGCTCCGGTTTCCCCCATCAACCCAAAACATGTTACAGGTCTCCAGAACAGTTGATAGTCAAGGTCAGTTAAATACAATCAATCAATCTGTCCAGGGACTACAGGTGGAAATTAGCACTGATGCTACAACCTGATGTACAATGCATCTCTCCTGATAAGGTAAAATGCAAAAATTGTGTGCTGTCCCTGTCTCAAATAAATAAATAAATAAAATAGGTCTAAACTACACAATAAGCTGATAAAACTGTTTTAAATATATAAAAAATAATAATAAAAATAATAAAAAAATAATCATAAGAAAAAGGGAAATACATGTGTACTTTGTTAATATAACACCTTTGTTTTATCTTACCATATCATGAGGTTCAAAATTAGACATATTTCTTGTTTACCATGCAATTAATTAACAATTAAATATCTTAGCATATGTAATATAGACTGTGTATCACTACTGTTTGGTGCAAAAGGTTCCACAATCTGATCAAAAGAGAACAAGATATATTTTGTTGTTGTACAGTTTCTGTAGGCCACTTACTCACGTGTTTTTACATGGAACCAATTCATAATGTCGAATGTCTGCATAGTATATTGATTATAAAAGTGGTTTAGTCTGTTTGCCATCTTTCTTTGTATAAGTTTACTAATCTTGTAGCTACACTAGCGTGACCAGACGTCCCTATTTACCCGGGACAGTCCCAGTTTTGAGCCCTGTGTCCCTTGCCCCAGTGGATTTATCCAAAACCAGTGACTTGTCCCAGTTTTATACAAGAAACGTCCCAGGTTTCTCTATTTATGACCAGTTTGATACGTGTCAACAGTAAAGAGAGGCATAAATTGTCATTTGTATAGGTAAAATACAGAAAAGCATGTTTAAAAATGTCCAATACACAAAGAAAATGTGACTGTACTGACTCACATTAGAACAATTTTCCTTAAATACGCACTTCTCACAATTGTATTATTACCAACCAACCCAAACCAGGGATGTCCCAGTTTTTAATTTTGAAAATCTGGTCGTCTCAAGATACACTAAAGAAGGAAAAGCTATCTCAAGTTTAGTAAAGTAAAATTACTAACCAGTGTTCCGGGTGTCCCCTGTATTTCTGCGCATCTCGTTCTCCTCCTCAGACAACATGCTCCAAACAGCTCTACCAAACGCGCTCAGCTCAGGGGCCAAACATCCATCAGCAGCAAGCCCACTGAAATGCCCGTGGCCCACTTTGCTCCACTTTGTTCAGCAGCGTGGATATGAGGATGGGAGAGGGGGTGTGGTACTGTCTGGATCAACATGTGTCACAAGTTCTGCGCCCTTGACTTTACGTCTAAACTACACACGGCAAACAAAGAGAAAAACTGTCTAAAGTTTCCGGGGATTCGTAACCTTTTCCACTCTGCGACCCAACTTTATTCTCAGTAAAGAGGTAACTTGGGATCCATTCTCATATTAAATGCATTACGCCTGCATTATATGAGGCTACAACAGACGTGTAGTATGCTCATTCTTCCTGCAGATGGCGCCAAGATGCCATTGTTTGCTCGCTTACATAGCAATAACAACTTTTTGGACAAGTATTGAAAATTAAAAAAAAAAAAAAATACAATTGCATTTAAACATAATTAAAAAGAGGTCATAGTTTCCACGTTTGTCTACTGCGCAAAAGCTGCATGAACTAATGTATGCGTTGTGCTGGATACCAAGTAAACGCATAGGAAAATGAGACCCACACCAGATCACTCCACCTCTGAGCTCTCCGCGGGCCTGCCCTTACTGCACAGTGGGAGGAGCTTTCCACCGAGGATCAGTGCGCTTTTTCACCTACGTGCGCCACGGACCAGGTTAAGTCGCTTGGTTACTCGCTTATGTGAACACCAAACGGGGACTACTTTCAAAACAACCTACTCCAACTCGGATTTAAGTTGAATTTCAATGAAAACACTGGCACGGGCGCTCAAACTGCTGTGCGCCTCTGGATCTGACAGTCCAAGTTGAGGTAAGCTGACACAAGAAAGAAAACACCACGTAACTCCACCACGACGCTTTATCTTTTTTTTGCCAGATTTATTCATCTTTAAAGTTTCAATTTAACAGTTTCAATTTAACACTAGGCCTGTTTTCTTAGATACCCATGTGTTACGCGTTGTTGTTATGACAGTTGCTGATTGACATGTGCGAGTGGAGGAGGAGGGGGAACGCTGGGGTGGTCCGTCCGCTTCTGTCACCAGACACGCATGTTAATTGTTTTATTGCTTGGTCATCAGCATAACAAGGGCTATAAATGGACGTGTTAAAGCTAACAGTGGACTGTGATTTGACGTGTCCACTTTGTAACTACTTGTGTGTCTGCAGCAGCAGCAGCACAGGCCTGCTTAGTGACTTGACCCACCCTTTATGGAATCATACCACTCAAATTAACTCCAGACCGTATTCCCAAAACAAGTCTTACCCGCCTGTACTAACCTGCCGTGCCTCCAGCTTACTTCTGATTTAGTGTTGCCCAACATGTATTTCTATAGGGTGGCTACTTGCCCAATCTGCCTATGTGTCAAAAAAGAAAATCAAATAAATTATAGCCTCAGTGCAGGACAAATGACAAGTTATAAATCAATAAAAATAGCCTAATAGAAAAAGAGCTTGTTTTTTCTCTAAAGACGTGGCAGGAAGGCGCAACAGCTAATGCAAATAATGTAAACAGATACAATTAAATAGATACAGAACTCATTGTATCTTCTCACATTTGTCAAATTGTTGCTTTGTTTTTATTTACCTATTTGCCACATAGTTAACTTTTTCTACTTTAGTGATGGACAAACTCAGCAAGTGCTGTCACAAATATGATTATGATTCTAAGGAATAGACTCAATACTCGGGATGTAACAATAACTGAAATATTGTGATATTGTGTCATCAAAAGTCTCACAGTAATATTGTGGGGCATCACAATATATCGAATTACAAGTTCCTTTGCATTTTTTTTTAAATCGTAGCAACAGCTAATAAACATCAAGAAGTACATATCCCATGATTCATTTCAACGCAGACAACATGAAGATGTATGTTTTTTACTTGAACTCTTGGGATTATGATGGAAATAATTCACTCCAAAATTTTCTCAGAGTATTTTAAAAGCAAAAATGTATCCTATCTACAATTATACCAGCCATTTCTAAATATCGCAAGAAATATTGTACCATGAGATGCATATCATGATAATATCGTATCAAGAGATATGGATATTGTTAAATCTCCACTCAATACAGATTCTGAAACCACGATGATAATGGAAAAACACTCTTTATCTAGACAATATCTATCTAGAATGTCATTTTCAGCATCAAATAATAGTACTTTCTTTTATATTATCCTAATCTGTGTGGTCTGATACAGCTCAAGTTCATTCTAAAGCGATTCAGGAAAGATTAATTTCTGTCCTGTGAATGCGACTTTTTTAGTATTGATACCTGTTCAAATGAGTATCTAGTTTCGATACTATTTTTTTTAAAATCAATTAGTTTCTGATGTTCACTACTTTTGACTACCTTAAATTCAGCATATTTCCTTTCTAAATAGCCATAGGATCACAACTGACCTGATTTCCAAGATTTAGGCTTGGTCAGAACAGCCAGTGAACTCCTGAATACCCCCAGAGGAGCAGGGGTAAAGTTACCAGCAAACAGCATCAAAGTTTCATGGCCAGTCCTCTGGTGTCATTCCTGCACAGGTGCCCTCTTTCAGGTCACACAATCAATGTAACTCACAATCAGCTAATATTCACACAGTGCTTAGGTGTGGTTAGCATGGATAGAAACAGATCACAGCAGGACAATGTTTTGGGACCAGAGGAATTCATTTTTCTCTCAGGAAGCCTCACTACTATTGTTGTTTTGAAGTAGTTTTTGTATGATTTTAAGTGTTTACTTCCTATTCTTCTATTGTTGGTGTTGTCGATACTGAATACCAATTCCTATACCACAATAATAATAAAAAACAATTTCTTTAGAAAATAGAATGTAATGTAGGATGCTATTTTGTAAAATTATTGATATTAAAAACCTATTCTGAAAGATGCACGCATTGGGCTTCATTCTTGAAGCATTATTATAAACACATTTTTACTTCTGATACATTTTTGGCATTCACAAAACTTCTGTTCACCAGTCAGGAGCACTAGTAAGAGCAAAGATTCTGTCATTTTAGAATACTCTTACTGTAATAATGGAAAAAAATCTAATAAATTATAAATTATTACAACTTAAGTATAAAAAAATACACACAAACACAGAGCTCATCACCTCTCCCGATGACCAGAGCGCACTCATCTCCATGTGTCCCTGCCTCCATGCAATCCCACCCTTGCTATTGCTGTGACTTTAACGCGACCTGTGGAAAACGTGATATAAATGAAGAGTCATTGTGACTAAAGTTTGTGACTGAAATATACCTCCATGAGTGTGTTCATGTGTGATTGGACCTTTTTAATCGGAGATGAAGTTGTGAAACAGTGGGAAAGTGCTTTCACATATCGTAATGCCCATGCCCATGGTTCTCTCTCAACATTCTCTCAGAATCTAAAAGTTATAAATTATTTTAAAGAAAAAGGTCCAGTATTCTTAGATAATTTTGCTTAGGTCATTTACTAACCAGACATGAAGAAGCACCCTGACCAGATGCACATTTGGAGAACTGTGCTTAAAAATTTACAGTTTATTTTGGAAAGTAGTATCCTCCTCTACCGTTCCATCTCATGAGCTGATGTGGCTGCTGTGGTCACTGCACCAGTCTTAAAACTGTCCCTGAAATGGGTGTAGTTTAAATTTAGCTGGGCTCTGTCCACTTGAAACGTTTTGTCATGGAAATAAGTTTGGCGATCAGTTGTTGGCTCATGGTGTGGTGTTTGGGGCGAATGATGTGTGGTGTATGTGAACAAGATCGACTCAAAAGAAAAGTAAACTAAACTAAATCTATCGATTCATACAGACCAGTAATGTGTTAAAACAACATTCACAACTACAACAACTCATATTGTCAACTGTAACCAAAATATTTACTCAAGTAAGAGTACTTTTAATTAAATATAATTGTTATATATTACTACTTAAGAGGAGTAAAAGTATTCTTCTAGAAAAAGTTCTCAGACATTAGTTAAAAAAACTTGCAGTTATGCTAGGTGTGGCTGTTTTTGTGCTTTAATTACCACTTCACTTTATAACCATAGCGCTGAACTATTTCAAAGGCAATGACACGTGGTCAGTAAACTAGTTTTTTTTATAATTTTATTTGACCTTTATTCAACCATGTTTACATCATACATTCAGTCATCACTAATAGTATTAACCTAAAATCAAGAGAGCTATGCTGTATCACTGAATATACTTCAGATTATCCACAGTCTTGCAGTTTGAGCCTCCTTATCAAAGAATGCCGCTTTGAGATTTGCTTTATGCTTTCCTGGAATGAGAAGAATGTATGGCTAATTGGTCAACTCTGATGGCCGGTGAACTTTGGACATCAGTATCTGAAAGCCTGAAAATCACATCTATGCTCTGTTTTTATGTAGAATATTTACCATGTGAGGCTGTGAGTAATGATCATGCTAATGTCATTACATCTATGAGTCCAAGTCACAGGTTTCTCATTTGTCTGGCTGGTGGTGTGTGACCAACCTACGTATGGGTGACAAAATGTATTACAAAGATTCCATTAACACATGATGCACACTATACTTAACTATACTCAAGGTATATAATGTAATTTTTTTTTTATATTACAGTGTTGTTTCCTCATCTCACATGAGTCGGTTTTGTGTAATAGGACCTGTAATACTGAAGGATGATTTGTTTAGTTGTTTTAACCTGGTTATGCCCCAGGACTGACTAGTATGCAAACTAACTTTATTTGCTGACAAAATGTGTAAAAAAATCAATCAGACTTGTTTCCTGGTAATTTGATTGCATTGCCTGGAATGTTCCACAGTATGGCATATCTGTCCTGCATTTTGTAACTATAAGTGTCTTTTAATGCTAAAGAATGCCTTAAAATATGCCTTCTTATTGTGAGCTGGGTTTCCTCTCTAGAGATCTGACCTTTAACTTGACCTAATGAAGTCACTGCTTGTACTGTTGATGCAATAACATATTCACAGAAACAAGCAGGTGACACCCCCTCACCTCAAAATGTAGGTTTGTTTTCATACAGTAGTCCACGATCTGATATTTTCAGATTACTTCTGTGCACCATGCAGTAGGACTGTAGGCGTTTAGTTGATCAATCAGGCGATAGTGTCTTAGTCGATCATAACCTGTATTATAAGTGTTGTGGTTGAATTTTTATTGGACAACAGAGAAAAGGAGAAGATATTGAGTGGGTTAGCTGAAGTTTTAGGAGTGAATAATATGTATAACTTGCCTTTTTAAATACAGTATAAACACATTGTTTAGTACTTTTTTGTTTAATACCGGTACTTTAAAAATTGTTTTTGCATGAACTAATCTGCATCGTTGAGTCGTGGTCTTTGAGTGCAGTTTGGGACAGATACAAGGTAACATCACAGAGGTAATGAATAGTTTTGAGAATTGTTGCCATGCCCCCTTTTTAATTGAATCGATTGGCAAGGCTAGTTCAGCCAAATGCCAACAAAATCTACAGCCCTGTATGCAGCTGTACTTTAGCTTTTGTCCATTGTGAACTATTGAAGTAACAGGTGTTATAGATCTGGAAGCATGTGGCTGGCCGTCAGTCTGCTCAGCTGTCTCGTGATCAAGATTACCTCCCAGATGACCCCCAAACATCGCATCTCTTCCAATGTACAGTAATATCCCACAATAACCATTTGGCTACTCCTGGTTTTGGTTGTGGTCAATTAACTGGCAAACTCCTAATGAATATCACTCTGATGAAGGGCGAGAGTATGTGATGTTAAAGTTTTGTCAGACAGCCTTTAAAGTTGTCCAGTCCTGCTTAAAATGACATCAGTTGATAGTTGATTACATTCTG